GTGTGGACGCCAGCGAGCCCACCACCGACGCGCCCGCCGGCGACAAGAACAACTACATCACCGTCAAGGGCTCCGACTTCGCCGCGTGCGAGGCGCTCAACCTGGAGACCGTGCAGACGGGCGACATGTCCGGCTCGCCGCCGGGGCGGTACGGCTGCGAGCCGCCGCCCACGCGCGCCGCGTCCTGGGACCACCGCTCGCCGGCGCAGCCGCCGGCGCTGCCTCCGCACCTGCTGCAGGTCATCCTCAACAAGGACACGCCTGTCTCCTGCGAGCCCACGCTGCTGCCGGCGCCCAATCACGTCATGCTCAACCACCTGTACGCGCTGACATCAAGGAAGGTGTGATGGTGCTCAGCGCCACGCACCGCTACCGCAAGAAGTACGTGACCACGCTGCTGTACAAGCCCATCTAGGCGGGCCGGGGCAAGGCACCCCGCGCCCGCTCTGCTGAGGGAGGGAAGGGGGCTGTCGCTGGCGGGTAGCCCGTCGGATTGGTGCGGAGTACTGTGGGAGGTGCCGCGGCGTGATCCGAAGAGGTAGGGAAGTCTGTGATGGCGGAGGTATACGCGTGCGGGCTGGACAACGTATGCTTTGCCAGAAGGCGATGGGGATATGACTTGGGAAGCAAAAGCTATCAGTATGGCAAGTAGCCACCGCTTAGGAACTAGTCACAGCATTTTTAGTCTTCAGATATGCTCTAAGATGAAACGATATTTGTTGTCGGATTGTTTGTAATTTGTTAGTCTCGTCATCGCTGCCGTGTGCAGTATCCCTTGAATATCTGGTGCGATTTTCCGTTCGATAATGTCTCTCTCCACGCCCGGTAGGCGTCTAGGCCGTAAATTCGACCAAATTCCCACGTGAAAGATTTAGATGTACCGTTTGGAAGCCGCGTAAATTCCCGAAAAACCTATCTGTAGTTTTGTGCCCTTCGATGTACTGAGTTCATCGCCCCTTACTTGCCTCCTGACAATCAGCCCCTTGAGCGGGTTACAGGGGCGGTTGAAAGCCTCGCTATCGACTCACTGATGGTGCAATATTGCTGGCCAGTCGGCGCGTGCGTGACCTCGGCGTGGCGCGTCGCCGATGCCTTGGGTCGTTCGGTTCACGCCCGATGCTTTGCTCTCCGCTCCGGAGGCAGCACCACGCGTTCAGTTCACGCCCGATGCTCTACTCTCCGTTCCGGAGGCAGCACCATGCGTTCAGTTCTCGCCCAATGCTTTACTCCCCGCTCCGGGGACAGCACGACGCGTTGTTCTCGTCCCATGCTTTACTCTCCGCTCCGGGGGCAGCACGACGCGTTCAGTTCTCGTCCGATGCTTTACTCTCCGCTCCAGAGACAGCACGACGCGTTCAGTTCACGCGCGATGCTTTACTCTCCGCTCCGGAGGCAGCACGATGCGACGGTACTCGTGTAGGTATAGCCGCGCCCAGCGGCGAGGGGTCTCGCCGACGCTGGAGCTGCCGGCGCTTTGAGCCGCGCCCTTTCTCTGTTCGCGCCTCGCTTGCCTGTTCTCCTCTCCGCATTCGTCATGTCCAGCACCTGTGCGTGGGCCCAGTGTCTGGTCCGTGATCGGGTTTTGTGTGGGCGTACAAACGGTTGGTCTCTCCCGCCCTATACTCAATCAGCGACATCAGGGGAACTGGGCGCAGACTTGATGGCGTCGTGTTCGTGATCTTAGCCTTACGCCATGACAAGTCATTTATCTAGTTTTACGTCCGTGCGTACATGCTATGCGTATGTGAAATAAGTACTGCGAAATAAAAACGTTTTACGTATTCCGTGTTCAGCGGCGGGAATCGTTGCATCGACTGGCGCGATCCCATGGCACCCATTAAGTTCAGTTTATTTCAGTCCTGACGCCAATGCCCACTTCGTGTGAAATTTTAAGTTGGTTCGGTGTTCCGTGCGGTGCGGTACAGGAGCACCTCCCCCCCCCCCCCCCCCCCCGGTCGCACTCAGCTCCATGGTGTGCATCACACGCGCGAATGGCCCTGAAACGGCACTGTATTCAACCGGTACGACGCGATCCGAACCACGCGGTTTGAGGACCCTAAATGACCGTTGCTTGGCATGCCTCATGTCCAGTGTGGCGCGATTCCCAACTAGACGCGGATGGCTGTTGCATGTGCGCCCCTGGCCCCAGCCAGTCAGGAGACCGCATCACTGCCAGTTACGTTTGGTGTCCAGCGCGCCACTGGAAACAGGGGCTGTAGCAGCTTAACCTGCAGAGCACAGTCCGCGTGGGTCAAGCGGGAAGAGAACAGACAGGTGTTCGCATCGTTGGCACACTTTCCAACCATCTGTGGTGCACGCTATTGCATGACTAGAACGACCCCTGATGCGTGCTGCGCCACGCGAAGCGCCAACAAAAACCACCGCGGAAGCAATGCAGCATATATTCCACCGTTACATGTCAGCTGTCGAATAGTACAACAGTACGGAAGCCGTGTTGGCGGTCGACCCTGCAAGATTCGGTCCGTTGACGGGACCTTTTGCTCCCCGGAGCGACATCCCCGGAGCACGAGCCGACGAAGGCAGCTCGGCCCAGAGCGGCGCCACACCGCCGACCGGGCGCCGAAGCGGGGCGGATAGCCACAGGAAGATTTTTTTGATCGATGGATACGTGACACACCAAGCACGGTGGGCGCGTAGGTTTTCATACATGTTACTGCAGCGCCGGCGCTTCTGCCAAGATGCACGGTTACTTGCACTCGGCGCGACATCTACAGACCACAGACATCGACGCCTGAAAAGTTCTCCCACTTCTGCCTCAGCCTATTCAGCCCTTGCGATTCGCGTGGGTTTGGGCAGATGGTGGTTCACTGGTGGGGAAAGGGGCCCATCTGGCACGCGGCACGACACCACATTCACGTAAAAGCAATCGGTGCATTATCAGGTATATAGCGCAACTTACCCGGTAGACATCTCTTTGGCGATATTGTTCTCAGTTCTTTCGGAAAAAGTACAGCACTCGCCGTTTTAGGACTTAACAATAGCCTCGTCGCGTGAGGTAAAACCAACTTCGTTTCATGAATCTAGCAATCATGCTACGACGACACCTTAAATAAATGTTTTGTCGCTGGCATCGGCACAGCGCGAACCTCAACCCCCCCTCCCTCCTCGTTTTACATTTTGAACGCAACCTGCAGCAGTCCGACAGCGACGTGTCAGTTAACCCAAGCGAAAATAAGCCCAAATACCGATCAACTATGGGTCAGCCGGTGCGTTATTCCCCGCTGAAGTACTAAGATGACCCGAACACCCCCTGCCACGGCCAACCAAAATATGACCACATCTCTGAAAAGCTACATATATCTTACTACCACACATCTCCATCACCGCTATCTACGGGTGCTTCTACGACCTGGGTGAACACCAGTGACCACAAACGCTACCGCACGACTGACTGGAATGTAGGCGAAAACTGCGCCAGGAAGCGTGCTAGAACCGGCTACATCGGGAGTCGTGCCGGACGAACTGTTCGCAAGAGCGATATTTGATCCAAGGCATCTGGTCTCTTTACTGTTACTGAGACAGTAAAGCTCACCAGGTTGTACGATCGACATTTGATCCAAGGCATCTGGTCTCTTTGCTGTTACCGAGACAGTAAAGCTCATCACGTCGCACTCCATCTAAACTAACGCTGCCTTGAGCTCAGTTCCGAGGAAGTGACAAACATTATTTGGACAGCAGGCTCATATAAAGCAGATTTCCAGACTGAATTCACCGCTGACATTACCACTTACGTGAAAGCCCTCGAAAATTTCGGGTACACAGCACACAGCGCTTCAGGTTTGAAATAGCTAACAGGTAACCGGTTCACTCGAGGAAGACATGATGGCGACGCCAATGTCAGACGAAGCTACCACAACAATGTTATGGTAAATATAAGACCAGCGGCCTGAAGTGAGAACTTCTCAATACACCACACAAACACACACGACAAAGGTATTAAAAATAACATCACAAAAGGACGGAGGGGAAAAGTCAGGAGATTGCATGTCCACTATCACATGGTCATACGACATACACAGGCACGTTTCACCTAGTCACGCACCCACAGCAAGGGGAATGTTACGTAATAAGCGGTGCGCTTTATACACCGCACATCACCGCGTTGGCAGTTATCAGAGGACCTAAAATAAACAGTGCCAACGAATTAATACAACAGATGGCGCCAGCGATGCAGCTGCGGTAGAGCTGCAGTTGCCAGCGAAATACATGGCGCGACTGCTGCCAGATAACGCAATTATTACTACAAAATATAAGTGAGACATAGTGGATCTTAGCTGCCCCCGCCGCATTCCATCAGTTCAGTGGTGTAAAAAACGGTATGTTGTTCGTCCCAGTAGGCCACCGTTGTTGGTCACCCATTAGCCTGTGGCTCTGAGGCCTCGTGACACTGCGCGTGCGCGCACCGAAATGGGGGGAGGGGGAGAGGATGCCGCACTCTATGTGTGTGTGTGTGTGTGTGTGTGTGTGTGTGTGTGTGTGTGTGTGTGTGTGTGTGTGTGTTGTGTGTGTGTGTGTGTGTGTGTGTGTGTGTGTGTGTGTGCGTGCGTGCGTGCGTGCGTGCGTGCGTGCGTGCGTGCGTGCGTGCGTGCGTGCGTGCGTGCGTGCGTGTGTGCGTGCGTGCGTGCGTGCGTGCGTGCGTGCGTGCGTGCGTGCGTGTGTGTGGTTCCTGTCGTCACGGTAACTACAGTGCCAGTAGTAGTCTCTACAGTGCGCGAGCACCAGACCCGTCTTCTGTGGTCAGCGCGACTCCCATGTCAGCTCCAACCCCCAACAGGTTGAGCAGGCGATATGGTAACCAGGTCTTAGACCGCACGGGGCTCTACTCTGACGCAGCCGCCACCCGACATCTGCGGCTTGCACCACACCGTCAGCCTACGTCACTGGACAGCGGCGGCGCGCGGCGTCCGCGGGCGGCCCTTTCACAGCGGCGGAGCACGCCGTCGGCGGGAGCCCTCTCATAGCGGCGGAGCACGCCGTCGGCGGGAGCCCTCTCATAGCGGCGGAGCACGCCGTCGGCCGGCGGCCCCCTCACGAGGCGCCGCTGACCATGACGTTCGCCCATCGCTGCGTGTCATAGGTGGGCGGCCCTCTCACGAGGCGCCGCTGATCATGACGTCCGCCCAGCGTTGCGTGTCGTAGGCGGGCGGCCCCCTCACGAGGCGCCGCTGATCATGACGTCCGCCCAGCGCTGCGTGTCGTAGGCGGACGGCCCCCTCACGAGGCGCCGCTGATCATGACGTCCGCCCAGCGCTGCGTGTCGTAGGCGGGCGCGTCGCCGCCCAGGTCGGCCGGCAGGATCCGTCGGCTCACGTGCTCGTACAGCGCCGCCAGGTTGTTGCCATGCATGTAGATCTGAGGCGTGGGGCGAGGGCGGATGGGGAGGGCGCAGTCAACGGCCGCTCCGGGCGAGCGACGGGACGGGGGGACGAACGTTGCGAGGAGCCTAGTGGTCAGAACCAACGTCACAACGCGCGATCGAAACCAGACGTCGCGCGGGTAGTGAACAGTTCGACGAGCTGTGTCTGCAGCGCCGTGACACGGTTCTTATCTGGTGCCACAAGTCCAACACACTCTAGGGATTTTCACGGGGCACTCGCGCTGATTGGCAGTGCTTGAGAGCGGACTGGTTCACTCTGCTACGGTCTGCGTGGTCTCACCTTTTCCTTGACCTTCTCCTTGAGGAACGGCCTGATGACCGACATCATGGCTTCCACGTACCACGGCTGGTTGATGAAGTGGATGCCGCCGAACCGGGCCGGGTAACAGTCCTGGAGACACGCTAATCGGTAATCGAGATCATCACAGCTGAAAGCCAAGCTCACCGGGCGGGACACTGAGACTACATACGGTGGCCAACGGCCGCGCACCGCATCAGCTGTAAGTACGTGGTGACACGAACACAGCTTTCAGTATAGCAACAAATAGCACTTCAGATACATTAATCCGTAACGACAGGTGACGAAAGCCACGATCGTATACATTGTACAGCTTTGACATCGCTTTAAATATATAGCGGTTACCAGCCGGTATGAAAAAGACATCCAATTTGACCCACAGCTTCCTATAGTCAAGCCCTATAAGACAACGCAGTAATGAGGTCATTCCGTACAGTGTTGGTGGTGCCAACAACGTCCATGCGTGGCTTTGTATTTGTTCAGCAGAACATTCATTTAGCACAATAAAAGGCACGCATTTTCTGGCCGTATATGCATGGTTCAACCACTTCCGCATAGCACGGTCGTTCTTCAGTTGTGCCGCAGATCACAGTCTCAATCGTGTCCCAAACCCTTATCCGTTACAAGAGATTACTTTCGTCAACATCGTGACCCCAGATCATCGCCAGCTCACCTCACCTCACCTCACCTCACCTCACCTCACCTCGCCTCGCCTCGCCTCGCCTCGCCTCGTCCCATCTCACCTGTAAGCCGCTGACCATCAGCCGCACGGTGCGCGGGTTGACAAACTTGCTCTGGCGCAGCGAAAACTGGCTGAAGTCGAGCACCATGACGAAGCCGCTGATTTGGCTCTCCGGCTCCTCGATCAGCCGGTCCAGCGTCAGCAGGATCGCCCGGTAGATGGCAGACAGCGGGTACCTGCCAGCCAGCCGGAATACCTGACCACGTGCCGGGACAGCAGAGGGCTCCGCATAGAAAATTCGTCGCGCCCTTCCCCATCCGGCAAGATGGCGGACACATGTCAGGTTGTAATACCTGGACATTCCCAGGCTTTCTGTTCAAGGGAGCTCTTAATCCCCTTCCAAAAACCGCGTTACGCTACGGTAGCCTAAAATCAGTATACATACTCGTTCTAAACCCTCACACTCGCCCCCTACGCAAACGCGTTTCAGGACGAAAAGAGGACGGGGTTGGGGAACTCCGGATAAATTTACCAGGACGCTGAATCACTCGCCCGGCTTCTAAATAAAAGGCTCTGAGCCATGGCAACTCTACGAGTTTGCGCGATTCAGGTGACAATTTTGTGATTTAAATATTGTTAAAAACTCGCTGGTTATAAGCCCTCGATGAACCAAGGCTAGCCCGCATGGCTTCTGATCCATCTATATTTCGACGAACGCAAAGGCGGTCAACACGCACGAAGCAGCGCCAGCGACCATACAACAGAAGTGAGCTTGCAGCCTGTGCAGCTCTGAACTCGCAAGCAACTGCCCCGCGACTCACAGGACGGCACCGGTCTTGACGTGTCACCACCCTGCGCCACACCAGCCCTGGAGTGTCGTCACCACACACCGCACCAGCCCTTGAGTGTCACTACCACACACCGTACCGGCCCTGAAGTGTCACTACCACGCACCGAGCCAGCCCTGGGGCGTCGCTACCACACACCGCACCGGCATTGGAGTGTCCCTACCACACATCGCGCCAGCCCTGGAGTGTCGCTTCCATACACCACACCCGCCCTGGAGTGTCGCTACCGTACACCGCACAGGCTCTGAAAAGTCACTGCCACACACACACACCGCAACGGCCCTGGGGTGTCGCTACCACACACCACACCAGCCCTGGACTGTCGCTAACACAAAGAGTATCGGCCCTGGAGTGTCGCTACCATGGACCGCACAGGCCCTGGAGTGTCACTGCCACACACCACAACGGCCCTGCGGTGTCGCCACCACACACCGCACCAGATCTTGAGTGTCACAACCACACACCGTACCGGCCCTGAAGTGTCGCTACCACACACCGCACCAGCCCTGGAGTGTCGCTACCCCATACCGCACCCGCCCTGGAGTGCCTTTACGCCTCGCACCACATTCGTTCGTCAACTCTCGGTCTTATCCAAACCCGATCCGGACCCATCCGCCCTGTCCTGGTCTTACCTTTCCCCCGCCCCCTCCCCCCTTGTCTTGACCCTGATTTTCGCCTCGATCCTGATAACTGTCCTCGCTATAATCCCCCTCTAAACACCTGGCCCCATCCTGCCCCCGACCAGTGCCCCGGGTACAACCCGTGACCCGGGTCCCGACCCGGGTCCCGACGACGTGACCCGGGTCCCGACGTGACCTCCATCCTGATCCAGCCGCCGCAGCTCTCCCCGCCACCTCACCTCTCCGGCTCCCAGCTGGCGGCGAAAACGAGCAGCACGCGCCGGCCGCGGCCGTCCCGCTCGGCCAGCACGCCCGGGAAGCCGTCGCGCAGCGCCGCCCGCACCGGCGGACTGTGCGCGTTGTACGAGCCGAACAGCAGCGGGTTGTCGCGCCGGTACGCGTAGAAGCCGGTCAGCAGCTCGAACGCCTCCTGCACGCGGAACTTGCGCGCGCGCAGGAAGCGCAGCAGGCAGTCGTCCGACGTGTCCAGGTACACTGGGCGTCGGGCACAGAGGCGGCGTGGGCCGGGGCGCTGGCGCCGCGGCGACGGCGGGAGGCCGGGGTACTCCGGCTTGGGGATGCGGGGCGGACAGACGCAACTCAGTGCCCTATTCACGACGCGGTAAGGCCGCGACCGAGGCGGGAGGGCCGCCAGCTGTGGAGACTGGTCACGGGACGCTGAGGTCAAGCCAGCAGCGGCTCTTATCGGTGCCCAGAGGCCGACGCCAGCACGGTTTGTATGCGTCGCGAGTGGAAGCGAGAGGCGGCACTTTCTACCAAGCAGATATGGTCTTTGAAAGCACACCTAAGGCACGGACCACTCTCCCCACATCAGCGTCACATGACGGTGGACAGTGGTGAGCAGCGCAGTCCCAGCATCGGCGGGGCTCCCCGGGCTCCCGCCCGCCACCTACCGACGTGCGGCTGCGTCTCGGTCAGCGCGCGCAGCTGGCGCACAGCCTCCTCCTGCGGGCAGGGCCCCGGCGAGCTGGACCGCTCCGCGTCGGCCGCCGGGTCAGTCTGGCGCCACAGGTCGTCGTACTCGGCGTATTCGGACATGGCGCCGGCTCCCGGCTCCGTGCAGCTACAGCTGGGCCAACAGTAGGCTGGTGGGAGACATCAGTGGATGACCAGCCCTGGGACCTGCATTGCAGGCAGCCTGTGAAGATGGCAGTCAGGTGTCTTATGAACAGAGGATGCTGTGATGTTTTAAAGTCACAATGAACTTTTGACCTCCTGCTTCTTGATGATACCAAATGTTGGCATTCACTGGAGTGGGCTGACTAAAGCAATTTTCTGGCTTGATTTTCCTCAGAAAAAGACAAAAGCCATAAGTAATGATGAGGATGATGATGATGATGATTGCAGACTAAAGTTTAATACAATATGCATAGGTAATGCCCCTTTTACACCTTTCTTCCAATGATAATGATATAGCAGCACTGCTGTAGCTGGCAGTACCACATGCCAATCTTCCCAGTATTCATGCCACAGCCAACATTTTTGTAAAAATATTGCATGGTGCCACATCATCACCTCACTGGGAGAAGCAGCACAGCTTTTCAAGCATTCAGTGCAGCATAGTTTTATGATGAACCCAACCCTCTGTAGCACTGGTAATCAGACAATGTATGGCTGCTTGAGTCTTCTGCATCAAAATATATGCAGCATAAAGTCCCACAAATTGCTATCACCACATAAGCTTCAGTAGAAATGTCAATGAGACCATGTAAGATGGAAACCCTATCAAGGCATAAGCAAACAGGTGGTGTTTAACTGGAGCTTGGATCATGCTGCATTCAGAGCACTGGAAGTTCTGTTCAGCAGCTGGTCCTGGGATCATTTCCATGTTAGCATGAGCAGTAGATATAGCCATGTGAGTATGGCTCTCAAGTTTGCCTGTCCTGTCTGGCACAATAGAAATGAATACAGCTTTCTCTGTCCTTTCATTTTGAACTATGTATAAAGCTGTCAACCCAATAAACATGTGAATTCCTAAGACATGCACCAGTTTTAGGATGACACCTCTAAAATTTGCTGCCAGAGGATGGGAGAGGAAGAAATAGGCATGTGCTGACATGATTGTTCATGCTACAGCTGTAGTAGTGATATATCCTATTCCTGCAGACATTGATTTCCTGTAAAGCACCAAAAGACAGAGCCTTAGAGGCCAGCCACCAATAACAGCTCAGATTTTTACCATTTTTTGACAGTCCCCACCTGGCTGCTCACTAGTTAATGACTATGCTAGGTGAGAGCCCCTCCCCCCCCCCCCCCCATTCACACATACAATTGGTCATGGTAGTAAAGTACCTGTTAAAACAACACTTTGGAATGACTTGCGACCATGCCTGCGTTAAGAATCACACAACACAGGCGCTACCCTTTGTTCCCTCTCCTCCCTCCATGCGCAAGACCAGGCCAGTTCCGCAACGTGTCGTGACTTTCAAAGCTGGACCCAAACAACCAGGACCCTGCAGACAGCTGGAAAAGCTGGGACAGACGAAAATCAAAACTCACTGAAGAGCAGCTGCCTCACATAGATCGCAACGCATTGTATGATGCACCCAGGTATATCTTAAATGACATAAAATCCAGTGAAACACTGGTACGTGTACGGGGGGCGTGATCAATGCCCGCCCTATTAGTCCGCCTTCTCATTGCCAATCTTAGGCGAAAGTAAACACCAATAACTGTCTCGTGTGCGCAATATCTGAATAGCATATGCTGCTTTCCGGATATGGCAGCACAAAATTACAATATGAGTCAGAGAAAAACAAGGTCGACCTGAATTTGGGGGTTGCTAGTAACGTGTACTTTGATTTTCGACGTGAGAACCTCTAAATGGAAACAAAGGTCTAAGACAAGAGGACAGATTCGTAGACCATGTAAATAAATTGTCACATAGCACGTCCGAACTACCCTAAGGATACCAAAGTTCTTGTTGATTAGCGTTACGCCGTGTACCGCTGCTTTACCCGGTGCGGTATATACCCATTACCAATTATCTGAGTTCAAACAAGCGGCAAACCCTCCAAGATTGAGCTAGCACATTGAACGCAACGACGACCTTTATCGCTTTAGGCCCGTTTCCATCTCTATGACCACTCGGCCGAACCCGGTTCGGTCGTGCAAAGTTGATCGTTCGCCCAGCTTCGTGGCCGCGCTAGGATAAACAATCCGCCAGCTGACGCGGGCGCGGCTGCTCCCCTCGCCTGCGCAGCGGCCGGGAGGGACGCCGGGCCGTCCGACGTCGCTCCGCTCGGTGCCGCTCCGCGTGTCGGCCTCACCCGTGGCCAGCTTAGCCTGTAGCTCCGCTGCTAGTGAGGTGGTGCGGCGGCGTACTGGTGACGGGCATCTCAGCAGCGCGGCCATGCTCGCGTCGGACAGTGGCCGGTGGCTGCTGCTAGTCATCGTGGTGGTGCTCGTGCCACGCGGCACCGCCCGCTCCCACGTGGCGCTGGTGACCACGGACCAGGAGGCCGAGCCGCTGGTGCTGCAGCTGGCGCAGCTGCTGGCGGAGGACCACCACGTGACGGCGGTGCTCTACAACAGCAGCGGCGTTGGCCCGACCGGCGCGGTCCGCGTGGTCCGCGTACCGGCGGCCGCTTCCGACCCGGCCAGCCGCATCAGCTGGCTCGACCGCTGGGAGCGCTACCCCCTGCTGGCGCCGGACGCCGTCGTGGCGTCGCGCGTGGCTGGCTGCGGCGCGCTGCGAGCCTCGAGCCTGCTGGCCGACTTTCGGCCGGATCTCGTCATCAGCACCCTGTACCTGGACGACGCCTGCCTGCTCGGCCTCCTGCCGGACGCGCCGGTCATCGGCCTGCTGCCGTCGCCGGTCGGCCTGCCCTGGGTCACGTACCAGCTGGGAGGTCACTATCCCGTCAGCCGGATACCTGTGCACGGTTACCCGCTCGGCGACGCCGACTTCTACGCCCGGCTCGGCAACGGCTGGCGCTGGTGGACGCTGCTGCGGCGCGTACAGCGGCTGTACCAGACGCCCGTGGCCAGCGGCGCCGGCGGCCACCTCGACCTCGAGAAGGCGTACGACCGCGTGGCCGCCGTCTACGTCAGCGGCGACGCCCGGCTGCCCGCCGAAGTGCCGGCCGACAGGCGGATCCGCTTCCTCGGCTGCATCGAGTGCGCCAACTTTGCGCCGCTGCCTAAGGTGGGTGAGGGCACTGTGTTTTGTGGGATTTTTACGCCACTCCTTCTCCAGTCCGGTTTTTGCCTCCGAGCGTAAGGCTCGCATGCAGGCGTGTGACCGGAGCCCTCAAAAGATCCCAGGATCCCACTACCACAAGGCCATATGGAATCCTGGATCCACACTTGGGGTTCCGGCACATGTCTGCTCAGTTGCCATTGTGTCACATGTTGCAGTTGCAGTTGTGTGTCGGTTGCAGCTGGTAGGTGTCACATGTGTGTCGCAGTTGCCATTGACGTCACATGTCGTGCTCACTGCACTCCTCATGTAACACATGGCGACCAGTGTACCGAGTCAAGCCCACTGAAACCATTACGAGCGTGTTGCCTGGCGTCCGCCAGAAGCTGATGTCGACGATCGGCGGGGGCAGCCTGCTGGTGATCCGGCTGCATCACCCGCACGTCACGCTGCCGGCCGCCTTCAAAGTCGCGCTGGCTCAGGGAGCCGCTAGTTCGTCGCTGACGCCGATAGATGTCAGCAACGCCACCAGTGCCGACGCCGACCGGGTCATACACAGCGGGGTCCCGGCGGCCGACGCGCTCGGTGAGGTCACCGACGGCACTGGAGGAGGTCACCAGTGATGGGTACTCTCGGCGATGTTTTGAGGTGATGGGTACTAGATACTCTCGGTGAAGTCACCGCGGGGGAGCGTTAGTGTCAGGCTCTCTCAGTGACGTCCTGAGATGCGCTAGAGGTCGCTGAGAGGGAGAATCGGTGGCAGACGCTCTGTGAAGCCCCGCGTCGCACCGGATGCCCCTGTACTGAATGATCGGTGACGCTCGTACCCAGGTTCAGGAGTGGTACCGAGGTCCCATTCCATGACCTTCCGTCGCCTCTGAGCCGGCAGCTCCGCCGAGCTAACCCCTACACCGCCTCTGAGTCAGCAGCTCCGCTGAGCTAACCCCTACGCCGCCTCTGAGCCAGCAGCTTCGCTGAGCTAACCCCTACGCCGCCTATGAGCCGGTAGCTCCGCCGAGCTAGCCCCTATGCCGCCTCTGAGCCGACAGCTCCGCCGAGCTAACCCCTACGCCGCCTCTGAGCCGGCAGCTCCGCCGGGCTAACCCCTACGCCGCCTCTCCGGCAGCCCACTCCCGGGCGCGCGTGTTCATCAGCGAGTGCTCGGCCTCGTCGGTGCTGCTGGCCGTCCACTTCAGCGTGCCGCTCGTCTGCATCCCCTTCACGGCCGGACACAAGATGGCTGCCGCCAACGCCGTCTCGCTCGGTCAGTCCCAGGCGGTGGGAGGGGGAGGGAAACGCCAAGTGGAGTGCGCGACGGGATAGGCGATGTTTTTAAGCAGGCAGGTGCGCGTTATTCCGCCAGAACCCAGTTAGCGACATCACCACTGCAGCGTGCACAATGGCATGTTTTTTCAAAGTTCGGACCGGTGTTTAAGTTGAGCCGATAGGTGGCCATGTCGCGTAAAACCTCCAGAATAGAGGCAAAGGGTTGTTTGAGCATGCTGGATCTCTTTGAGTGTTGAACTACGGAGTTGGATCGTCCCTCAATTCCTCACAGCCGACCCTCTCCTCCAGGTCTCGGTGTGGAGGTGGACCGTCCCTCCCTCTCGTACAGCCGACCCTCTCCTCCAGGTCTCGGTGAGGAGGTGGACCGTCCCTCCCTCTCGTACAGCCGACCCTCTCCTCCAGGTCTCGTGTGGAGGTGGATCTTCCCTCCCTCTCGTACAGCCGACCCCTCCTCCAGGTCTCGGTGTGGAGGTGGATCTTCCCTCCCTCTCGTACAGCCGACCCTCTCCTCCAGGTCTCGGTGTGGAGGTGGACCGCCTCCCTCTCGTACAGTCGGCCCTCTCCTCCAGGTCTCGGTGTGGAGGTGGATCTTCCCTCCCTCTCGTACAGCCGACCTCTCCTCCAGGTCTCGGTGTGGAGGTGGACCGTCCCTCCCTCTCTTACAGTCGACCCTCTCCTCCAGGTCTCGGTGTGGAGGTGGATCTTCCCTCCCTCTCGTACAGCCGACCCTCTCCTCCAGGTCTCGGTGTGGAGGTGGACCGTCCCTCCCTCTCGTACAGCCGACCCTCTCCTCCAGGTCTCGGTGTGGAGGTGGATCTTCCCTCCCTCTCGTACAGCCGACCCTCTCCTCCAGGTCTCGGTGAGGAGGTGGACCGTCCCTCCCTCTCGTACAGCCGACCCTCTCCTCCAGGTCTCGGTGTGGAGGTGGATCTCCCTCCCTCTCGTACAGCCGACCCTCTCCTCCAGGTCTCGGTGAGGAGGTGGACCGTCCCTCCCTCTCGTACAGCCGACCCTCTCCTCCAGGTCTCGGTGTGGAGGTGGATCTTCCCTCCCTCTCGTACAGCCGACCCTCTCCTCCAGGATTCGGTGTGGAGGTGGACCGTCCCTCCCTCTACAGCCGACCCTCTCCTCCAGGTCTCGGTGTGGAGGTGGATCTTCCCTCCCTCTCGTACAGCCGACCCTCTCCTCCAGGATTCGGTGTGGAGGTGGACCGTCCCTCCCTCTCTTACAGTCGGCCCTCTCCGCCACGCCTCAGGGTGAAAGTGAACCGTCCCTCCCTCCTTCCCTCCCTTACAGCCGATCCTCTTCGCCGGCCTCGGTGTAGAGGTGGGCCGTCCCTCCCCTCTCGCAGCCGACCTCTCCGTCAGACCTCAGTGTGGAGGTGGACCGCCCCCCCCCCCCTCACAGCCGACCCTCTCCTCCAGGCCTCAGTGTGGAGGTGGACCGTCGCTCCCTCCCTTCCTCGCAGCCGAAATTACCCGCCAGGCCTCGGTGTAGAGGTGGGCCGTCCTCTCCCCCCCCCCCCCCTCACAGCCGACCCTCTCCGCCAGGCCTGCGTGGAGGTGGACCGTCGCTCCCTCCCTCCCTCGCAGCCGACCCTCTCCGCCAGGCCTCAGCGTGGAGGTGGACCGCCCCCCCCCCCCCCTCACAGCCGACCCTCTCCTCCAGGTCTCGGCGTAGAGGTGGACCGTCGCTCTCTAACGCCCGAGTCGCTGCGGGCCGCCATCACCTCCGTGACGACCAGCGCCGGCCTGCGGCGCGCCGTTCGCGTGCGCGCGGACGCCCTGCGCCACGACGCCATCTCGCCGGCCGCCCAGTTCTCGCACGACGTGCACCACCTGCTGATGTTCGGCGGCCGGCCGCGGCGGCGCCGCCCACTCGGCCTCGTCGAGTACTACTGCCTGGACGTGGTCGGCACCTGTCTGGTCAGTGGCGGACTGGGCGCCGCGCTGCTGATGCTGCTCTTCGGCTGGCTCTTCCGCGTGCTCTCCGGCCGCCAGGGCCGCGATGTCAAGGCCAAGGTGGAGTAGGCCGGCCGGCGCAGGCGCGGCAGACGCCGCGGTGCCGCCCAATTGTCCGCAGCGCGACTCGAGTGTGTCTTACTTTATCTGTGCAGCCGCGTCAGCCCTGCTTGGCCGCCGCTGTTCCTCAAATACACCGCTATACAAATGGTTTATTAATGCACATACACCTGAATGACACGATAAATAATGGCAATAGGCAGCGCGGCGTGGTCTCACATATCACATGGCGCCGGCTGCGCGCGCGCGCGCGCCAGCGCGGCAGGTCCGCCTACCGCCGCCAGTACTGGGCGAACTTGTGCAGCTGTTCGACGAGAGCGGCCATCACGGCCGTCACCGACACGTCGATCATGTTCTGCATGTAGCCGACCGCCTCCTCGTCCGAGAGGTCGAGCCTGCAAACAGGTGAGAGGCGAGCGGTCAGGCGGCGGGGCGCGGCCAGCGGCGACGGACGGACGGCGCCTGTGTCACCGGACAGACACAGGCGCTGGCCGCCGCTGGGTCAACCAGCACTGCATAGGGCCGAGCAGGTGGTGATCCCAGCGATGGGAGTTCGTTGAAGTCATGAAACATCAGTAAAGGTGGTGGTTTAACCCAGCGAGCGAGGGCGGGGGTGGATCCCGCCCCCTCAGAGGTTTTCGCTGGGTTCTCCGAAACGGTTTGGAGCGGCTGCAGGAATTTTAGGACATTTTCTAGACATCTTACTTACGTACTGAGGCAAACTGTCACATTCAAGGCAAGCGCAGGGAGCGATTTCACGCCCCGGCATTGGGAGGGAGCTCCAGTGCAATTGGGCATCATCCGAGATGTTAATTTGCCATGGATTACGCGTTTCATACATCGTGTTGCGTTTACGCGACTGACTGATGTTTACGACGAATAGGACGGTGCAAAATGAGTACAATGATTGCAAGATGGCAAAGGCAGCATGTCGGAGACGATTTCAGGGCACGCCATAGTGACGTTATAATGTGTATTAGGGGTCGCTAATGCCGATATATCATAAATGCATTCAGCACTCACCTAGATCTACCCCTAGACCTAGAAATCAGCAGTCATTGGTCCGCGTTGGTTACGTCGAGGCCAGTTGACGAACGTGGCAACTGTGTCAGATTAAAAATGCCTTCACATTTTGAGGTTTTCGAGACCCTGTTGCCTAGTTCGACTTGTGTACGTAGGCCGAAAAAAATGCATCCCCGTCGATTTTTCACAAGCCGCCCAGTAGTTCCGAAAGACCTAAGAGGGGTGAGGGGGGAGATCGAGGTCCCCCTCCCCACCCAGATTAGTGTCCACAGGGAGACCGTCCGAAGCAGAGCTAACCTCAGCTTATTTCGCCACACGCATTAATTCTAACTAAGTGATCTCATTATTATTGGATCACAAACATCTCGAATCACAATGGGCAGCGTCATGCTGACGTTTTTGCCGCCGCATGACGTGCTGCCTGTCGCCGGGCCGGGCCCATGGAGCGGCGCTTCTGATTGGCTGGCCGCCTGCGCCGGCCGGCGACGCGCGGTCTGCCCGGCGGTCAGCGACACCTGAGGCGGTGGCCAGGCGGTGGCCAGCCGGCGGCCGCCGCCTCATGGTAACACCACGGTTCGCCACAGGTGGTGCGCCAATCAGGTCAGCCATGTGGTCTCGGCGTCATTAGCTGCGCTGAATAGGTCATGCATATGATCTGTAGCAGCTACACCACACCGGGGCCGGGTCGGTGAACGGGGGCTCGCAACAGCTGTGGTATGGGTGTTATACGACCGCGCAGGCGACGCTCCCGGAGGCATCGATACTTGATTAAGCGCTCTGGACGTCCGAAGGCTCTAATATACCGGAACTGAGGTGAGGTTGTGCAAGCAATAAACATATTGTGGACTTAATGGTCAGTTTTTTTTTATTTAAACGTAGGCATATGGCAATGAATAGCGGTCCAGTGAATTTCAGGACGAGGCCCCGATGTAGGTAATCCGAGAAACAATCGCAGGGGCCCAATATCAGCTGGGATATAATTGTGGCATTATACGCCGTTCTGCACCACTTCAGGCTGTGACGAACACGATTAATTATTACGAACATGTTTGATGTTCATCGAATGTAGCGCCATGGGTCGTAATCAACTTGAATACGCCCTAAGCAAAAGCAACGTTTTCACCCCAGCAGGGAACTCGCGCCTCCGTCACCAGGCGGACGTCAGACCCATGTCCACCCTGGCACACCTCGAGCGGTCGTGTTCAACGGGCCAGGCCCGGCGGACGTCGGTCGCGGGCCTCATCCGAGCTTGTCTCGGTCCAGACGCGGCCGGGGCCCACCCTGGCAATGTCCCCACCACGGGCGGGGCCTCATCAGTCGCGGGCCTCACCCGAGCTTGTCCCGGCCCAGACGCGGCCGGGGCCCACCCTGGCAATGTCCCCACCACAGGCGGGTCCTCATCAGTCGCGGTCGCTGGCGAGCTCGCACCTGACTGGGCCTGCGCGGCCGGCGGGCTGACCTGACTGGGCCTGCGCGGCCGGCGGGCTGACCTGACCGGGCCTGCGCCGCCGGCGGGCTCTGACCTGACCGGGCCTGCGCCGCCGGCGGGCTCTGACCTGATTGGGCCTGCGCCGCCGGCGGGCTCTGACCTGACCGGGTCTGCGCCGCTGGCGGTCTCTCACCTGAACTTGTCCTGCACCTTGCGCACCGTCTTGTCCGGCTCCAGGGCGATGTCGGGGATGTTGGCGTCCACCATCAGCGAGAACAGGTGCAGGATGACGTCCGCGTGCCTGGCGGCGGCGCAGCGCGCGGTCAGCGCGAGCGGCGGCGGCGGCCAGCCGCGCGGCACGACGCGTGATGTCGGCGCACGGGCCCCAGCCGCGGCGGCTCGGACCGGCACTCAGGCGTTTGCGCGACCGAATATCACATCAGATCACGTGAGCACGGGAGCGCGGACATCTCGGTTCGAGACCAAGTTACTCGGCCACACCGGCGGCGGCCGTTGGACGTGACGGGTGCAGGGGACGCACAGCCACGGCTCCAAGTCAGCGGGGACCGTCGCGTCGTTGGACACCACGGTTGCCGTGCGACAAGGCCGCCTCGAGCGTGGGCAAAGCTGGGCCCAACTCTGCAATCACCGAAACATGTGGGCCCGTTCAACAGCTGCAGACCTCTACCCCATTGGCTAATGATTATGACATTTCGTGCTCAGGGGCGCGTCGATTGCGTGACTATTCAGCGCGCCCCCGAGCCCCTCTATCAGCGTTCCCAGCGCGGGCCCGGCCGTCACCTCCTGAGGTGGAGGAAGGCGGTGTAGCACTGCTTGCGGAACGTCTGGTAGTGCTCCGAGTTGACACCGCCCATCGCCTCCACCATCTCCTTGCTGAGCTTCATGGGCGGCGGCAGCGGCTTGGGGTCGCGGCCCAGGATGTAGCCGAAGTCAACGTGGAACAGGTTGCCGTCCTTGGTGAGCAGCAGGTTGTCCAGATGTCGGTCCCCGACGCCCAGCAGGTACGTGATGACGCAGTAGCCGGCTGGGGGAGGCGACACGGCGCCGTCAGCGGGCGCGGCAGGGGCACACGGGCCTGGCGCGTGGAACAGCGAGGCACACAAGCCAGGCCAGCTGATGGATCTGTAGAGCTGAACCAGTCAATTTTTACGAGGCGTGCCTGACGGGGAAGTGTGTAGACCGGCGGCCTCTATGTACTCCATATGAGATGAGTTGAAACGCGCCACCGGTAAAAACGTCTGCACTGCGTGCAGTTGACACACCCCTCACACTTCTGGCATCTGGCTTACGTACGACACTTCGCACGACAACTAAGCCTCGCGCTCTAAGATCAACAAACACCCCAATACATCACCACCGACCCAGCGCGTCTGCAGAGGAACAAAAACTAAGTGGCATCTGGTGTCAGTGCTTGCACTGACCACCCTGTCACAGCCGCGCAAAGCTCCAGCTGGCCCGCTGCGGATTCTCCAGCGGTCGCGCGGTGGCCGCCTGACACTGCCGCCCGGCGGTACGCACCGCAGCTGCGGATGTAGGTGTCCATGACGTCGGCGCTGACGCCGTACGGCCCCGCCTCCGACGGGTGGTGCTTGCGGAAGAAGTTGAGGATGCTGCCCTCGGTGCTGAGCACCTCGGCCACTGCCGAGGACTCGACGTACTGCACGAACCCTGCGGCGACCGCGGCGCCGGCGGTCAGCGGGTGACGTCAGACCACTGACGTCACACGTCAGCGGGTGACGTCTGACCGCCGACGTCACACGGCAGCGCACGGACAATCCGGCACTATGACAGTGAACATTAATCATCACATGCTCCGTAGCTGTACCGCAGCAATGCACGTGTATAGGACTCCCGCCTGCTCTCACAAGATGGTTTTTTTTACAGACAATGCGAAAATCTATCCAGTATCTATGATGTTGCCAGCTCAGGCCCTTGTGAGAGCAGTGACCAACGAGCTTCAGAAACAAAACAAAACAAAAAATACATCTGTGAATTCACCAGCGGCCAGAACTTCTGGTCGTTCCTTAATACGCCACCGTATAAATGCACTGCGGTCCATGCATAAGTTACACGGGCATCGTATGCTGACAATACCTGCGGCACCACCAACCCCCGCCTCCCGGCCACAACCGACCACAGCGTGCCGCCACCCGTCTGCCTGAGTAGTCGCCCAGTCTGGTCCACTGCGTCCCCACTCACCGCCGCTTGCTCGGCAGGGCGGAGCCCGGGAGTCTGGCTTACCGTGCTTGCTGCTGGTGGCGAGCACCCTGTACGGGGTGAGCTTGAGGTCCAGGTTCTCGCGACGCAGCAGCTTGTCCATGAGCATGATGATCTGCAGGATCAGCTGATCCTGGCGCAGATCGTCGCCGTACTTGAAGATGGTGACGAACTCGTCGCCGGTGTCGGTGAGGAAGGTCAGCCGCGCCGGCATCAGGGCCGACTTGAACAGGGTCGCCCTGCGACGGCGCAGCTGGGGTCAGGGGAGGCCCCGCTCCTGAGGGTCAGCAAGGTCCCTCCCCTCGCCCTTCAGCCTCAGCAAACAAGCAGCAAACTACTGCTGGTATTTCGATTGACTCAGAAGCTGCCCATACACTGGTGCACAGCGTACCAACAGCCACTCGTCGCCGCCGCTGCTAGTTGCAGGCGCCATCCGGCACCGCACACCCAGCAGAGGGCATCCCGCACACAGCCGAGCCGGTGTCTGCCGCCACAGGTCGGCGCACCAAGCCGACCGGCCGCCGGCGCCGCCGCTGCCGGGGCCTGCGCCGCTCACTTGTCCGGGACGACGCCGCAGATGCGGACCTCCGGGTCCAGCGGCAGCGGCAGCGGCTCGAACGTGGCGAAGTTGAACTTGAAAGCGTCCGGGTCGGCCAGCAACGCCTGCATCTTCTCGATCTGCCGGGTGGGGGAGGGGGATGAGAGGTGGGAGGGGGCAGCGCCCGGCCGCCGGCTCGCGGCCCGCGGCCCGCCACTGGGCGGATCACGACGGCCGACCCCTGGACACCGTCAGCGATTAAATGACCGGCGCATGCCATCTCTCCCAGGAGCGGAGATGGTGAAACACCACCGCACGAAACAAAACAGCAGCGAACCCCAGGGACGACATGGAATACTTGGGATGAACTTATATCTCGGAGCATAACCCGAGGAAATCCGACATCAACAGATTCAGGGAAAAGAAGAAACAATGCAATGTAAAACCATCGAAGAATTGGCATTTTGTGGTTATTACATACCTTCTTACGCCTGTTTCCGCTTTCTTTAGCTACGGTCTTAAAAAGCTTGACCAGCTTGCCGATGAAGTGCTGCTGTCGAAGGAGAACTGACTTCTTCGCCCTATAAATCCAAATGTTTACGTTAAAACAGACCTACTGTCCAAACAGTGTGGTTCACGAAACCCTGCACCAGGCAGCGACATCAGCAAAGATCGCGGCAAATGCCGTCAAACAGGCCCATGTCCAGCACCAGCGCCAGCCGCGGCCAGCATGAAGCGCCGGACCGCTTCAGACAGCTACAAGCCTGACTGACCATCTCCGCCATCCTGGCGGCCGCACGGCAGCTGACTGCCCGCGCACCGGGCGGACACGGCCTCCAGCGCCGCCGCATGACGTCAGCGGCGACAGTCGACAGCGGTCACCGCGCGGTGAGCGGACTCAGGGGCCGCACGCCATCCCAGCCGCGCCGCCGGCCGCGGCCGCGTGCGCAGCTCCCGAGCGGCGACGGGCGGGCGGGCGGGCGCGCCGCCGGCGCCGCGTCCCCACCTGCAGTCGGCGCCGCCGCGGGTCAGCGCCTGCGTGAAGCGCTTCATCACGGCCAGGTACCGCTTGCGCACGCGGATGTCCTGCTTGGCCGGGTCGTCCAGCTCGTCGCACTCGATCAGCATGTACCTGCCGGCGCGGCGCGCGGCTCGGCATAAGATGTCACGGGTCACGTCTCGGGACGCGTCACTGCCCCTGTCTGCCCAGTCAGGTGTGCAGCAATGCGAAGACAAGTGTGACAAGTATACGCGGGATTAAAACGGGCTATGTCAATCACGAGAGCTGTACGCTGCCGACCGCCGCACTGTGCCTCTGAGCGCAGGGCGACATGTTGAACTGAGGCGCCAATTGGTAGGTCTGAAGCCGACGACCTTTGCACACATGAGGGGTTGACGTGTTTCGGTGAGCCAGTATCAGTAGCCGCCCAAGACAAGCCGGCACAATCTGCCCACAATTGACGCCGACCAAACGTCGGAATAACCGCACGTCGCAGTGATAACGCTATCGTTCACGATTGGGTTACCTGGCACGGCCACGAGCGAAACAGAGCATCTACGCTCAGACCGACGATTCATACGCAGGTGTCGCGTGATTACAACACGTAACCGGCCGGGCAGCGCACGTGTACGCGTCGGCACAGGCGCGGCGTCAGTGCCAGCGGCGTTGGCCCGGGACAGTGGCCAGGGCAGCGCACACGACAGCATGAATGCCCATCAGATCACAGGATCATGGGTCACCACTACCGCAACCAAAGTCGTGTGCGCCTACAGTCGACCCCGCGCATGAACACACGCGCAGGCAAAGGCGCGTGAGCCAAGCGCGCACTCTCACACGCGCAATATATTCTTCTATGCGCCAATAACACCAGAGTGCGTAGCGGCCACATCAAAACAAAAGCAACAAATCGGCGTCATTATCAGCCCGTCTTTCTGTTGGCACGTCACCACTACATCGGCAGGTCCTGTGTCATCCGGAACAGCGGCGTCCTCGACCACGGGTGCTCAGAGCACGAGGGGCCGCGTGGACGACACTGATGCCTGGGCCGGGGCCGACCTGCGAGCCGGGGCAGCGCAGCCCCGTGTCGCCAGCCACTCCCCGCCAGCGAGCGGCCGGCTCCCGCCGCGGCCGCTGCTCCCCCGCCACTCTCCCCGCCCCGCTCACCAGTAGAAGTAGTTGGCGACCACGGCGTTCCGGCAGGCGCGGCTGATCAGGAAGGAGGAGAGGTCCGTGGGCGGCGGCGGCGGCGCATCTGGCGCCAGCTCCCGCTCGGCCGGCGGCGATGGCGGCGGCGGAGGCGGCGGAGGCGACGGCGGCGGCGCGCTCTCCCGGGCCGGCGCGCGCTCAGACTCGTCGCTGGGCGCCGGTGACTCGCTCTTGCCGCTGCGGGCCGGAGGCCGCGGTCAGACGCGGGTGACAGCCGGAGGGCGGACGGCGAGGGGATGGACAGCACTGACGTGGCGCCGGTGCTGCAGACTGGTCCACACGGCGGAAACGGCGTCGTAGGGGGAGGAGGTTACTGTCTAGCAACGTGGGCTTCATGGATCGGAAGTGACAGTTAGTCAATGTCGCGGGGTGCACTACGTCCCCACCAGCTCATACCGCAGAACCCAGAAAACAACGCAGACACGCGGAGGTCACTGCGGTCCGACGGTAAGAGCGGCAGAGCGTTACCGCGCCCTTGGTTACATAACATCATCTCGGTTCACTGGTCCTGGCCACAGGCCGACGACAGAAAACGGCACCGTTCTCAGCACGCCACTTTGTTTACAGCTCACTATCACATCGACTCCGTTCACCGATACTCTGCTGGATAAAAATAAATCATTCCGCCTCCTTCCGCAGCCCACAAATCGGGCGTATAATGACGCTGGCAGCCAGCGTGCCCTTACACGACAACACCAAGCCCGCAAAGGCAGCAAGACCGATCGATGACTGAAATAAAGACCTCGCAACTGCGGTCAGTTACGCACGTGAGTCACCGCTTTCGCCGCATGTGGTTCGAGTCCAAACGACTCGCCCGCCACTGTGCGTATGTGTGAAGCCACGACAAAAAGCGTCCCCGACCAGCGCTCGGCGGCGCATGCGGCGGGCGCCGAGTCCCCAGGTGGTGCCGGCGCGACCTCAGTTAGCGTCACAGGGGACTGGGAAAGGGGAGGGACGGAGGGAGGGGGAGGGGGCGTTGTGTTCACATTGTCGGCCGCGCTCAGCTGGCCTTCTGACAACTGGATAAACACGCCCACACGCCGCCGGTCCCGAAGAGAGCGCTGCTGGCGTCGCGTTTCCGGCGCGAAATCAACACCGGAACGGCGACGGGCACCTGTGACAGCACGGGACCTCGACACCCGCGTCTGGTGCTGCAGCGCGCCCTGCCCTGCCGGACCGGGCCGGTCGGCCTAAGCACACCCTCCGACTCGGTGGCGGCGGGGCCGGGCAGTCGGGCGCCGCCAGACGCCCTGGATCGCGGCGCCGTGTACCCGGAGCCGGTCGGTGCGGGACGACATGGTCTCGCCTCCCCCCCCCCCCCCCGTCCCTGCCGCCGTTGTCGGCGCTAATCCAGTCTGAAGGTCCCAGCTGGTGTACAACTCGGCGCTGTCGCTGTGCTCTCGCCGGCGGCGGCCGGGCGTCACCGGCTCTTCCGCGGCCGAGCTGGCGTCCGGCGCACACGCACCTGTCGTCGACCGACGTCGAGGCCAGGCTGGTGATGATCAGCGAGGAGCGCCGCGAATGAGCCGGAGACACGTCCAGCCCGGCGTAGATCGTCTCCTCGATCTCGTACCGCAGCGCCTGCACCAGCTGCAGCAGGTACATCAGCAGCTCCTGCCGGCGACGGCGGCGCGCGCGTCAGCCGACGCTCGCCGCGCGACGTCAGGACGGCGCCACGCCGCGGCCCGCGAGCGCCCGCAGAGCCGCCGCACCGCGCGGCCCGGAGAGGCGGCGGGCGCGCCACACCGCCTGGCGTGGACCGCCGGCGGCGCCGGTCGGCAGGCCGGCCGCGCGACACGCGCCTGACCAGTGCCATAGCCCGCGACAGCACGCTCAGACGGCCGACGGCTGTGGTCGGTGCCGGGCCGGCAGACGCAGCTCGCAGCTGCCGCCGCGCCCTTCAGCGTTGCCAGACCACAACAAACTTACGGTAAAATACGCTGGCACCGGCGCGAGCGGTGGCGCGGCGTGCACCGGCGCCGCGTCACCGCGCGCCGTCGCCTCACCTCGTCTGGTGCCTGCCGGAGCCGCGTGATGGCGTAGGCGCGCACGGCCGGGTGGCTGAAGGCGGGTCCTAGCAGCTCCAGCGCCTGGTTCGGGTCGATCGGCGCCCAGCGCGCCATCAGCTCCAGCGCCTGCTGAGACTCAGAGTTCTGCTCCCAGTTGACGCACTTGAGGAACTTGGACAGCGCCTGCCGGCCGGCGAGGGCGGTTAGCAGGACAGAGGGCGGGGGGAAGGGGGGGGGGGGGCGCGCGGGGCGAGTCAAGGGTCTGGTCAACGCGGCCGAGGGGGAGAGAAACACGGGACGAGACGGGGTCTGGACAGATGGGATATGTCACGGCGGGTGGGGGCGCGCCCAATACCGCGGGCGTTGGGATCGCGGCCGGGTGACGACGTGGGAAGAATCACCCCGTCACCGGCCACATCCACGGCTGTCGACACCGCGGCTATCGCCTGACACGGACACCAGGCCGCCTGTTCGGACACCAGGCCACCTGACACGGACACCAGGCCGCCTGTTCGACTCCGCCTCCACCGACGGGCCGCCGAGGTCGACAGCACCGCTGTTGTTCCTTTCTATTAAGCCATTTCCACCCACCAATGCCGCGCCTTCAGGCAAACCTCAGTGCGGTACGGCCGGTGGCCGAGAGAACGGCACGGGTCGCTGGTCACGTGTGCTGTTCGTGCGGCAGTAAGCGCCCCACTCGCATGCCAATCGATGATGATCTTGCACACGCATTCACCTACCCTTTCCGCGCCACGAATGTCATGGCCCGACCAGCCCACTAATCGTTTTATCTTCAGACCACATCGCCCTTTTAATGAACTAGCCAATTTAGCCAAGTGACTGCCAACGCAAAGCAAGGACAGGTCAGCAGAACAAGTGTCGCCAGTATGTCTCCGTTCAGCCGTGGCCAGCAGCGGCATAAAACCTTTGCGAGCGAGACGTACCAAAAAGCAACGCCTCCAGGGCGGCATGTTGACATCTATTAATACATGTTCTGTGTCACGCCGCTTGCTGACACGTGCGGGCTTAATGCGACCAACACGGTGGCATCTATTAGATGTTCTGGATCACGCGGGACACTGACACGTGCCTCCAACTGCCGTGCTTCCAATTGCAGTGGGCACGAGCGGTCGGCCTGCCGCTCGGTGGCGCACGCCTTTCCGGCTGACCCCCGTCCCGCTCTCGGGACGGAGCAGAGAGATGTTCACATGTCCCCGCCCCCCCCCCCCCCGCCATCCGACACCCGGTCCCAGGGCCCTCACAGGGCTCCGCGGTGACGGTCACAAACCACCGCCGTGATTGGCCTGACGACGAAACACAGACCGATCGACCGACACGCCCTCCCGGCTGACCCCCGTCCCACTCTCGGGACGGAGCAGAGAGATGATCACATGTCCCTGCCCCCCGCCATCTGACACCCGGTCCCAGGGCCTTCACAGGGCCCGGCGGCGACGGCCACAAACCACCGCTGTGATTGGCCCGACGACGAAACACAGACCGATCGACCGACGCGCCGACCGGCAGACCCGGGGCGCGGCCGGGCGCCTCCCACCATCCCAGACGCACAGGGGGCGGTCAGGGCAGCGACGGGCCGGCGGCAGCGCTCACAGTGAGGTGGACAGCTCTGAAGAGGCGGGACCAGGCGAGACGGCAGGACACGAGACAGGTCCCGCTGACCCATGCACACGACCCGACATGCGCCGGCGACCGAACCAATGCAGGACGGTGGAGGCGGCAAAGCGAACGGTGCGAAGCACGCCAACAGAGAAGGAAACACGACAGGCCGGCGGGGACGGACGGCCAGGTTGGCGGACCGTGTTCGGATCGGTCGGCTGGGGTACTCACGGACATGGTGTGCCGGCCGCCGACAGCCGGCCCGGAGCGGCGGGCGCCGAGTGAGGGGCGCCGGCGGGGAGCCCTCTCACGCGCCGGGCGTGTGACGCCGCGACGGCGCGAGACACTGGCCAGCGCGCCCGGCCGGCGCACTTGCGTCAGTCAGCGGACAGACAGGCGACACGATGGCAGGACGGCGGCCCGCTCAGAGGCGCGCCGCCGACACGCCCCAGGACCGGCCGAGCCGGCGGCGCCGCTCCGGTCGGGCTCCGGCGGCCGGTGGCCCCGGCGGCACAGCCACGTGCCCCTCCGGCACCGCCGCCCGCCCGCCCGGTCGGAGGAGCGCCGGGGCGGGACGCCGGCCGCCGCGACCCAAGGCCGGCACCGCGCTCCGGTCTGCAGCGCGTCCCGCCGCCGCGCCGCCGCCGTCGGAACGGCAGCGCCGCTGTCACGCGCTCGGCGACAGCTGGCCTCGGCTAACGAGCCTCCAGCCGGCTGGCGTGTGCGGCTGTCGGAGCCGCGCTCGAGAGAGAGAGGGCAAAGTCCCGACCGACCTGAAGACGCCCTGCGAGTCGCACAGTCCGACCGGGCACTGTGTGACACACGCGGCGCATGGGAGGGATCATCCCGCCAGGTTTGTCTACTTTATCAGTCCGTTTATAGCCCGGGTTGACCGCCTTCCCACTGATAAAACACGCCGACCGTGCCTTCGCATCTGTGTTAAACTGGAGAGGCAGCGATCGACCCGCTGACGTCGGGAAGCTGGATGGGCTGTCTCGCCGTCGTCGCGGCCGCCGCCGCGTGCGTTTCCAGCCGCGTGCCCTCGGCTGTTTACTCCAGGCGGCCCGCGTGGCCCGTGCCGCTACAGCCGGATCAAACCGGAGCTGTACCGGTACCGGCCCCTCTCCGCCGCTTGGCGTGGCGGGAGGCACCCAATCAGGCCAGGCTGAGATCCTCGGACAGAGGGCTTCAAGCAACGCTTCCCACCAGCGCCACCGCTGGCGTGAGCACGGCCGCCCGCTCTGGCCGGTACGCCCCCTCCCCCTCTCCACTCTCTCTCTCTCTCCCACGGCGCTGCTGGGAGCGCCACGGAGACGGGCCGCACCGTCTTCCGCCAGTGCGCCAGTGCGCCACTGCGCTATCCTCACGCGCTTCCGTGAGGCGCGTGACGGAGAGGTGCCGCGCTACATCAGGAGCCAAGCGGCACGGCGGCGGCCGCGCCACGTACAGCACACACGGCGTCCGTCACCGAAGACGCCGCCGAGCCAGCTGACCAATAAATAGAACGTCACACGAGCGAGATACGGCCATTATTCATCCGGCGCAGAAGCGTTGAGATCAGCTCCCGCCAGTCCTACTCGTCCAATCCAGCCCGATTCGGCGTGAGAACTTGTGACTCTCACGACCCCCATACGAAGCAGGAGTAAACAATTGATCTCAGGCATCCCGCCCGGGCTGATGTCAACGACCTCCACGGAATGACGTTCATGATCTGCCTCACCGCACTGCAGGCATTTTGGCACGGCAACTGTCACGTGACATTCCAGGCTGCCGTGCCGTGCACGGCGACGTCGGCGCGCGTCGGCAGGCCACCCGGGCACGTGGCGCACGTCTGAGTCAGCGCGCCCGCCAGCTGAGCACGCCTGTGGCCGCGGTCAGAAGTCAGTGCCCGCTCTCACCACAAGTGTGGCCTACCCCAGGGGGCCTGTCGGATTCCCACCTGGTATTACGGCTCTAAAAAGGTGACTCAGAGTCGGGGGGAGGCAGGGGGTGCCACAGTGTTCCTAGGCGGCCGTCGAGAGTATCGAGCGGGTCACGGACAGGGGGGGGGGGGGGTTCTCGTTGGCCGACCGCTGTACTAGACCACTACCAACCCACCATACCAGCAAGCGATGGGCCAGCACGCTCTGCTCTGGTCAGCCTGCGCACCCGCCTCAGCACATTCCGAACAGGAGCGAAGGCGCCGGCTGCTACTTGAACACGGCTCACGGCACTATAATCACGGAGATATCGGGCATGCGACTATGCATGAGAGTAAATTCAAACCCGCCACCAAGTCGACACTCGCATTGCGTTGGCGGGAATCTTGTAAACTTTTAGTCAAAGAATCTTGCACGCTTTTAGTCAAAGAATGTAATGCGCGAAAGATACGTTACCGATGCACGTGCTGACTGGGTTTGCTTAGACAGAAATCTGGTCTACGCCCCGAGGCTGTCTGACGCAACAGTCAGCCAGCTATTAGCTGCACTGCATCTGGCACATCCGCGTTCCTGGATGGCGCGTTCTACCCACACGTTCTCAAAACTGGGTCACCGGCTTAGCTGCACTGGGACGCAGTATAACATCGGCGGCACATCTGGGTCAGTGCCGCCCAATCTGCAGTCCAGCTTCCTAGCTCGTCTTGCGGGTCTGACATGTCCTCTAACCAGGCCTTGCAGCCGCCGCCGTTCGCAAGATACGTTAGAAGTCCTGAGGGACGGGTCCCTGGGCTTGACAGCGCACGTGCCAGCGCTCACGGTGATTGAGGGCAGACCGAAGCACGATTGCTGGGAGAATGCTCGCGAAAACATCACAGCCCCTCTGAACGGGGTCTGTCTTAATTCAATAACGGCGCGACTCCACGCCAGCAGACGGGCTCAGAGAGCAGCAGCATTCTGCCGGGGGGCTGTCTTCACATTCTTCTGTGCGGCCCACGGGGGCGGAAGAGGCAAACTGCAAGCGACTGCCGCACGAACACGGGAGGGAAGGGGAGTGAGATATGGTTATCTACCCAGCAGCTGTTCTCAATTTTCGCATTCAGGGACAACAGAAACACAGCCGAAAGGACGCGAATATCCCTGATGCCTATTAGTCATGATAATACCTGGAGAGAGTGTGGGAGGAGGGGAGCAGCAGAATGAGACAGTGAGACCGGGAAGAGAGGTCGAAGTTTGCCAGGGGTTACTGCGCCCGGCATCGCTGCCTTCTGTTGCTATCGGTGTGCGGCGGTAAGCAGAAAACATAATTCAGCATCGTTCGGACCATCAAAATCATCTGGTGGTTACAGGTCCAAACCGTGTCGGCTAGTTAATTCCACGGGAGTCGTCCGGTGTTGTTCGAGTCCTGAGCAGGACGCGATGGTGGCTGGCGTCAGATGCCAGGGGTGAGTGGGACGGGATGGCGGTAAGCTTTCAGCCATGAACGCGTCACAGCGCTCTGTACACCCCAACACACCAGACGGTAAGGACAGTCCGGACAACTAATTCATCGGTGCTACTCCTGCCTCGTCCCAACCGTTCCATAATACTAAATCGTGAAATCTGATGGAAAATCATCGCCGTAGCAGAACCACCATACCACACGGGTTTGCACGCGCCAGCTATGTGGGGCCAGGCGTAGAAGTGTTCCACAATTACGGCCTAGGCTTTTCTTCATACACAGAAAGACATGTTTTGTAAATCTGGTGGCATGGTAACAGAGGAGACAGCAGATAGCAGACTGTAAACAGTGATACTTTTCTCAAACACACAATGTTCTGGATGTCCGTGTCTACTAAGGCTTATTGTTCATGGCTTTTGAAGAGCTCTGGTGTGGGCGGCATACAAGAGACAACTGCTCCAACGCCACGTCACACACGCTGCCAGCACGCCGGCACTGCAGACAATGGTGCCTCCTCCACGCCCGGAATCACCACAGAGAAGACGTGGATATGAGCCAGCTCGAGCCCGTGAGCCAGCTAGAACCGTGAGCCAGCTCGAGCCGCATGGGCTAGCTCGAGCCATGAGCAAGCTCGAGCCGTGAACCAACTCGAGCCGCATGAGGCAGTTCGAGCCGCTTGGTGCGCGCACTGCTAGCTTCTGTACTGCGCGCGGCCACCGCGGCACGGCAGACAAACGCTTAGCCCTGCTGAAGCGGAAATGGCACCATCCACCTGTCCCCAGGCATCCCAGACACAGAACCTCCTGCCCGCGCCTGTCCCCAGCCGTCGCAGGACATAACCCCTCCCGCCGCCCCCGTCCCCAGCCGCCACGCCCTACGCCGCGGGCGCCGCGGCCCCATACGCACCTTGCTCTGCGAGCTGAGGTAGAAGCGGTACTTCCACACGAGGTCCTGCGCCTCGCGGCTGGTGGGGCGCGTGGGTGGCGCGTTCACCACCGCACTCAGCTGGTCGCGTGTCACCGCGTCCGGCTTCAGGTCGCGGTCGGTGACGCCCGAGCGCAGCGAGCGCGCCAGGTGATGGTGCTTCAGCTCCAGCAGGTTGTCCTGCGGCAGCGCCGACCAGGTCAGCAGCGGCGCACGTGGGGCGGGCCGGGGTCGGGCGGACCTCCGCTGACACGTGGGGCAGGTCAGGTCGGGTCAGGTGAGGCCAGGTTGGTTCCGGCATAGCCCCGCAGGGTGCGCAAGACAGGTCAGGGCAGGCCAGGCCTTGGCAGCATACGCGGCGCAAGCCAGGTCAGGGCACGGCAGGCCTCCGCGTGATGCACGGTCACACAGGCCAGGCCGGAGCAGGAGTCCGCTGGCCACAAAGTCACGTGTGGAGTCCACAGATGCACCCGACGGGCCAGACCGCGCCAGGAGTCAGCGGGATGCGAGGGCCGGCGACACAAGAGTGAGCAGACAACCGCTGACGGAGGAGGCCCCTGCCGAGGCAGCCACGCTGACCACGCAGGCGGGAGCGACGGCGGCAGGCAGTGGTCACGGACGGCCTCTCGGACGGTCGGACGGCGGTCCCGCCATCAGCGATGGTGACCATCCCGTAAGGTGACGCCAGGAATCAGTGTCAGTTGAGCAGTGGGACACAAACGGTCGTCAGCATTCACGGGACACACCAATGCCATGACACGGAGGAGTGATGCGGCGGCGGCGGCGGCAGCATCATGGCACAATGTGCGGAGATGGCTCTCCAATGGGGAAAATCGCTCAGACCAGCTAGAAGATGAATGTCAAGTGGTGACAATGAGACGGAGTTCCCAGGCGTCCGAGAGACGAGGTCGGCGCGAACCAGCTTCAGACGAGACCGAACAGGACCGTGGTGCACAGGATTGCCCCTCCGCCTCGAGTCAGCTGGCCGGATCACAAGCGAGGCACCCACAGCCTCGTCGCTGTATAACACAGACCGCCGACGGAGTTTTCGGGCCGCGAAGAAGATCAACACCGTGCCTGCACAGACTGGCATCAGGGAGCGAGCACGCGCAGCGCAAAGGCGCTCCAGAGCCACGCCAAGTAGTCTGCTCGAGGAGTTGTCCGACTGGTGCGGACTACAGCTGTCGCCGACGGCAGCGCCTGAGCGCGAGGGGGGGGGGGGGGCGGCGAAGACACCTCCCACCGCAGCAATGCCCGCCAGCAGATCGGCGACGCTGACACACTGAGCCGACTCCCAGAACACCTGCAGAGCGGACAGACGCGCCGACCGGCCAGAGGGCGGGCGGCGCGGCCGGCCCGGCGGCACCACAGACCTGCATGCTGAACTCAGCCTTCACACTCAGCCAGCGGCAGCTCCACGCCGGGCGCGTCGCCAACACGAACTCGCAAAACATGACTGTTCTGGCTTCGTGGGCTCGCGGCGTCGGCGGGCGGCTGCGGGCAGGCGGGGCGCGCACACGCGCTCGGTTCGGGCGTCGGTACGCTACTGCCCACCGTCCGGAGCCACGCCGCCTGCTGGCCTCGGCTGACCTCGGCCGCGCGTCAGCGCCGGCGGACGGGGTCAGGGTCAGGCGCGTACCTGCCGGCCGACCAGCGACCACCAGGCGCGCCGCGCCGCCGTCTCCGGCCCCGCCGGCGAGGCCACCTTCATCATGGCTGGCGTCTGGTCGGCGCGCACGCGCACTGGATGGCCGAGCGGGCAGCACTGCGGCCGGTCGGCCGTCGGCGCGTCGCCGCCGAGGTCGAGGGGGCGCTGCCGGCGGCCGGGAGGGGGGGGGGAGTGGGCGCACGCGTCAACAGCGCGCTCCGCCTCCCGGGGGAGGGGGAGCACGACGGGGCCATGGCTGTGCGCGGCCCGCAGAGACGGCGCTTGGGGGACCGGCACGGAGCAGCGCGCCTGGGTGGCCGACCACCTCATGACATGGACACGAGAGGAGGGCCGGAACGCCAGGCCGCGGGGGACACCACTCCACGAAGCGAGCGGATGATCCAGACAGCTAGGACCACGCACGGCGCATGTGACCGTGACAGCAACGGCAAAGCTAGGCTCCTGAGCATGTCCGGGTGAGGGAACATGGATGATATCGCATGCTCAAACACCCTTGCTGGCACTGTCTGTACTCGGTCGCATTGCTATCCTTCCTTTTCTCTTGTCTGCCTGTCCGCATAAGTTTATCCGGTGCAGGACGTGTGCTACGATCCGCAACTGAACGCCCACTGATGTCCACAGAGCAAAAATGTAGCGTGGTAACCTCAGTAGGTCGCCTCACAGTGAGTAGGCTGGGGTTTCGTCATGAGTATCTGGGGTGGATTTGCTCCATGCACTGAACCAGCACGAGCAGCCCACAGCTTACATCTAGAAAAGCTACGAATCTGTGACACTGGCGGAGATCTTCTTCTCCCTCGCTGCACGGAGCAGACATATTTCAGTTCAGTCAACCTGCACGTGCCTTCTCTCCCGCAAGCACGAACGGAACAGCCCCGTGTTACCGAGGCCGCGGAGACCTCGACGTACAAAACCCATACCACAGACCTAATCAGCCACTCAAGCCCTATCACAGCGATAGACGTAAAAAGCTCGGGAGGCAGTGACATGCAGTATGTCGCACGTGGACGCGGTTTGGTCAGTATCGCAAACAATGACACGGATCGAAGCAGTGATAAGTGAGAAAATGCGCTTCAGTGGTCCCATTTCGTGCGACATTTACAATTACAGAGGACAGAACCAACAACCCACGGTACGTGTACTGAAGCACGACTTTCGCATGATCAAAACAACGCCACAAGACGCTTACTTTACAACTTTACCCGTAGTGTGGGATAATGCGAACAATAGTTAACCGTTACATACCGTCCTGGATTTCCTAATTGACCAACGCATTTCAGAGATACAGTAAAACGTCAGGAAACACCAACCTACGAAAAAGGCTGCAGTGAGCCAGTCATGCTAAGCAGAAATGGAGAATGATAGCAACTGCGAGGACCATCGCCGCCAAGTCCGTCAGGCCACGTTAGGCCACATCACACTCACCACGCTGCCTGATCGTGCGAACAGGGGATGCGTACTTAAAATATCACAGGACAGCGCTCTGATATTCTGTTGCACATCACACGGCCCATTCAACAACATGTGGCGCACCTACTCTCCAATACCCTGGCCATAAGGCGGCGCTACCTCGCACTGACCCGAAGCAAGCTGCCTGCAGCCGACCGGCGGGAGCTCGGGCGAGCTGACCGGGCGGCTAAGCTATGAGCTGAGCCCGGCTACCTGCCTGACAGCCGACGGGGTCCCGCCGGTCCAAGCCCGGCTATCTGTCTACCAGCCGACGGGGTCCCGCCGGTCCAAGCCTGGCTACCTGTCTGCCAGTCCGCGGAGTCCCGCCGGTCCCAGCCCGGCTACCTGTCTGCCAGTCCGCGGGGTCCCGCCGGTCCCAGCGCGGCGGCTGACTGGCAGCAGCGGATCAAAGCACTGCGACAGCTGGCCGGCGCCACCGCCGATGACGCCACGCCGGCGGGCACAAGCGCAGCGCGGTCCAGCTGGGCAGTCCCGCTGTGCGGAGCAGCACCTGGGCGGAGGGCCACCCTAGCCGTCTTCTTCCACACTGGAGCAACCACACGCACACGCGCTACGGAACTAGCACAACCGCAGGTGTCCACGCGCGGGACCGGACAACAAACTGGGCTGGCGGCTCGACATCTGCATCCCGCGCCCGAGGCGAGGCGAGATCCGGGGGGAGGGACGGCGGCCCGCACTGACCTGAGCACCGCAGGCCTCGACAGCGAGCTGGGCGGCGACCAGCCCGGTCGGTCGGAGCGCAGCCATGGACGGGCGCGGGCCGGCGCTCACGCGCTCACAGCTGGGCGCCGCCGCTCGGCCGCCGCCGGCCGTCGATCGATCGCACACTCACGCGGCTGCCATACGGCAACAAGTGTGCCGCGGAGGCCCCGAGGCGCCGCCCGCCGCCAAGACGGCCGCCGGGTCACCGCACCTCGGGCGCGCTCGGAAGGCCGGCCGCCGACAGGCTCGGAGACCGACGCGACTCGCAGGCGGCGCCCATTCGACTTCGCGGAGCGTTGGTGTTTTTCGGCTGGGGTTAAATGTGCGCGGCGACATACCCGCACCTGCCGGCTGTAACATGCGTACTCTCGTCCTTGCCCTATGTGACACGTACGACAAGGACGCGGGCGCGGAACGGCAGGGCGCTAGCAGAGGCGTAATTAACCGTGGTCCCGACGCCGCCGTCTCGCGGTCGCCGCTGCGTCCGGTCTTATCTACGAACTCTTCAGAACGACAGTCAACACGCACCGAGTCCGTCCTCCAGTCATGACTCAAACATATGGATACGAAGCGCCCGAGCACAAACGAACTCCGACTCGTTCGCCGAAACGTCCACGCGAACGGACAGAACGCCGCGCGTAGCCAGGCGGAGGTCCTCCGACGCGTGTGGGCCGGCCAGGACGACACGGAACGGCACCAGACGCGGCTCCGTGGCGGCTCTCCAAGGTCGCCCGACGGCCGGCGCCTCGCTTCGCGCCCGCTTCTCGCTTCCGCGTGCGCGGGACACGGTGCACGCGCCGGCCGCGCGCGTCCCCGAGGGCGGCGGACGTGACCTACATTACGTCCGGGTGCGGCCGGGGCCATATCCGCCCCCGCGCGGAGGACGGGCGCGGGACGAGGCGCGACAGGCGACGGAAGCTATCGCACCGCGCGACAGCCGTCGCCGCCAGGCTCGATTTTGCTCCGGCGACAGAGGCCGTTCAGATGCTGCGTGGTCTTCCGGACAAAGGCGTGCCATGCGACGCCTCTGGGGAAGTCGACGGACATGAGAAGTGAACGAAGCAGTGTCACCAGCGGTGCAGCATGTCGGCAAAGCGGCCTCTGAACACGCCGACGGGTTTGCCCAGATTTCGATTGATGCAGAGCGTCATCACACAAACGCGTCGCCAACGCGGATATCGACAGCAGCATCGGGCGGGTTCAGAGTGGCGGTGTCCGGCGGTTCCTTTTGTGAACAACGATCGGATGGAACGTCCCGTGAGGATTAGCCCGGCAAACTGGTGCTGCGTGTCGAACACGCAAACGTGGAACACCCGCTTGGAACAAGGTGGATTGGAGACAGGCCCGCGGCGCACATGGGAACATGACGTCAGGTTAGAACAATCGAGACAACAATCAAAAGTTGGCAATACATTTGCTCAAAGCCCAGCTTATGGGCCTCTCACCAAGCAGAGGCACGCAACTTCACACGGAGCGAGCCAGAAATATGGTCAAACATCTCATCAGAATCTTGTCCATTCGACCGTCCAAAGGTAGAAGGGCCTGAGCGCCATTCGGTAAAACAGCGCACAGGCCCTTTTCCATTTGCACGGCAGCATTCTACCAGACCGGGCTCAGCGCGACCTGAATCAAACGACACCCCACTGCCCCACAGCGACAGCAGGTCTCCGGAGCCGGGCGTGGCGTGCTCCGCGGGCGCGATCTCTCACCAGCTCCGCTTCGTGATCGTCGACGGTCACCAGGTCGGTCCAGGTGCGGTACTGCACCTCCATGTTGGCGCCCTGCTCGAAGTACACCATCGCGTACTGGAAACACACGCAGGTACCGCGTCAGCGACGCGACGTCAGGGCCATGCCGACGCATCGCACCGCAAGGGACGATTTGTGCGTTTCGTGAAATGGGCCTTAACCGAGCTTACAGAGCACGTCATTGTAAATGGCGACCGGATTACCCACGAGATGAAACCCGGCCGTACCGACGCCGCCAGTGCAACTTGCGGCATGTCATGAGTGTTTGGCAGAGCTCCGCATGTTGGAAGCTACGGGGCGCAACAGCCGCGACACAGCCGGTCACGGAGCGTCAGCGGGGCAGCCCTGGCGGCGCGCCGCGGCTGGGAGGGCCGCAGACTGACAGACGTCCGCCGGTCGGCCGCGGCAGGGGCGGCCAGCCCCCGGCGACCGGCCCTCGCGCCGCGTCACGCTGAGCTGGACGGTGCGTACCATCAGGATTCCCCGAGGGCCGGAGACTGATGGACGGGGCACGACCGTTGCGCCCGCCGCCCCCGTGGTCATGAGCGGGCCAAGAAGGTTCCGTTTCTCGTGCCAGCAGGAGCGGTACGGCGCATCGTGCTAAGATCCGCCGAGGACGACCTCGGCGAAATCGACCACCGGGTGGGCCCAAAACGAGAGACCGCTACGTCTCACCTCCTGTTTGTCGCACAGGATCTTGGGGAACTCGATCATGAGGTAGAGCGCCGACGAGGAGCGCTTCTCGCGCTCATTGATCAGCTCAATCTCGCGGAACGTCAGCCGGTCCAGCCAGTCCACCTGCTGCAGCTGGCCGTTCCGGTGCCGCTTCGTCAGCTGGAACAGAATGTTACAGTGACGTCAGCCGGTCCCGCCGGTCCGCCTGCTGCAGCTGGCCGTTCCGGTGCCGCTTCGTCAGCTGGAACAGAGTGCTACAGTGACGTCAGCCGGTCCCGCCGGTCCACCTGCTGCAGCTGGCCGTTCCGGTGCCGCTCCGTCAGCGGAACAGAGTGTTACAGTGACGTCAGCCGGTCCCGCTGGTCCACCTGCTGCAGCTGGCCGTTCCGGTGCCGTTCGTCAGCTGGAACAGAGTGTTACAGTGACGTCAGCCGGTCCCGCCGGTCCACCTGCTGCAGCTGGCCGTTCCGGTGCCGCTTCGTCAGCTGGAACAGAGTGTTACAGTGACGTCAGCGTCCGCCGGTCCACCTGCTGCAGCTGGCCGTTCCGGTGCCGCTTCGTCAGCTGGAACAGAGTGTTACAGTGACGTCAGCCGGTCCCGCCGGTCCACCTGCTGCAGCTGGCCGTTCCGGTGCCGCTTCGTCAGCTGGAACAGAGTGTTACAGTGACGTCAGCCGGTCCAGCCGGTCCACCTGCTGTAGCTGGCCGTTCCGGTGCCGTTTCGTCAGCTGGAACAGAGTGTTACAGTGACGTCAGCCGGTCCCGCCGGTCCCCCTGCTGTAGCTGGCCGTTCCGGTGCCGCTTCGTCAGCTGGAACAGAGTGTTACATTGACGTCAGCCGGTCCAGCCGGTCCACCTGCTGCAGCTGGCCGTTCCGGTGCCGTTTCGTCAGCTGGAACAGAGTGTTACAGTGACGTCAGCCGGTCCCGCCGGTCCACCTGCTGCAGCTGGCCGTTCCGGTGCCGCTTCGTCAGCTGGAACAGAGCGTTACAGTGACGTCAGCCGGTCCCGCCGGTCCACCTGCTGCAGCTGGCCGTTCCGGTGCCGCTTCGTCACCTGGAACAGAGCGTTACAGTGACGTCAGCCGGTCCAGACAGTCCACCTGCTGCAGCTGGCCGTTCTGGTGCCGCTTCGTCAGCTGGAACGGAGTGTTACAGTGACGTCAGCCGGTCCCGCCGGTCCACCTGCTGCAGCTGGCCGTTCCGGTGCCGCTCCGTCAGCGGAACAGAGTGTTACAGTGACGTCAGCCGGTCCCGCCGGTCCACCTGCTGTAGCTGGCCGTTCAGGCGTCGCTCCAACCGAGGGAATACAGTTGACGGGTGGGACGTCAGGGAGACGGCCACTCCGCCCATGTCTGCAGGCTCATGACGCGAGTGGTATACGGCAGCACTGCGGTGCAGCATTCAAAGCATGGTAAACGAGACAGAGCCGTGACCCGAAGCCCCTGTTGCGCACGTGGCGATTCAATAGCTGTTTGGCACTGATTGGAGTTCCCAGCACGCATGTATGTATGCACCGACGTCGCGGAGTAATCCACTGCTGCAGCGGCTTCTAATCTCTGAGTCACGTATGAGGGAACAAAACACCCGGTCAGCATACAGCACAAGCGCACGTTTAGTCACGCGGCACACGTACACCTAACTCTAATGCGCATACGAATCAGAGATTTCCCACATGTTTCCGGTAGCGACATATCCCAGCGGTCCCATGTAGTGCATGGCGCTTAACTGCGCGCACGAGTGCTCGCTGTGTCACGAGCGCCGCCGCCAGTACGGTTGGGAGCACGTTTGAAAGTGCTGTGCTATGGTATGGAATCGCCGCCTCCCAGCCCCGTCCCCCGGCGGGACACGTAAAGCCGCCGGATCTGTGCAGTAATCCGTACTCCAACACAGCTACTTGCTCGGGAGATGGGTGCGAGCGTGTCTGGCTCATGATGTACCATAGTCTTGTGCGCTCGGCTCGGTGTGCAGAAGTCCGCTACTTCCTGCGCGGTCAGCCAGCCCCGTCTCTCTCGCAGGTCAGACACATGGTCGGACTCACCACGCCCAAAGACAATCCGAGAGCCGGAGTTCAAGGCTTTTTGAATTTTATCTATGTTTTTCTCGGTCCCGTTTCCATAAACCGAAACTCAGCACCTGACGCGCGGGACGAGAGCCGAGACCAGTGCGAAGATTGACGCTACCGGGGCGAGGTGCCGGACGCGGAGAGGCCGGTCAGGGCGCCCGCGCCGCAGCGACCGCCGTGTGACGCGTGGACGTCCCGTCACAAGGCTTGTTCGAAATTGACACCCGTACTTTTAACTCGGTGCGGGGACTACGTCGCGGAGGGCGACCTGGAAATGTGGTAGTTTGGGTAGATTGTGACGGCTTTCGAAAAAAGATGTGATGCTTTCTTGTCGCGTCGACCTCTGGGGCGTTGGTGCGGAGCCACACGCCCAGAGAACAGGCAACGTTCTCCACACGGGAAATGAACGCTGGAAGATCGCTCCGTTTTCCGGCGATAAGCACTTGAGTACCATCAGCGCGTCGCACGACGTCACCCGTCACAGAAACAGCGCCAAGGCGTTTGCAAAAGCGCTGAGAAACGAGGGTCCCAAGCCCGACTCCAGGAGCACGGCCATTGTGTTCGCCAGAGGTTGCGAGGTCTCTGCGCCTGGTGCTGTGACGCACTGCGTATATCCCTGACGGTGAGACCCCAGCCAGGCGGCGTCGACGGTGCGCAGTCGGATTTTTCGCAACAGGAGGCCGTGGCCAATGACGTGAAAGCCTTTTGTCAAATGGATCGGGTGCAGAAGTGGTATCTCCCCGCTTTTGGTAGCGCTAGGATGCGGTCGAGGAAGGGTGCCAGAGCGGTCTCCATCGAGCGATGGGGTCGAAAGCCGTGCCTGGAAAGGGAAGATGAGATGGTCACAGGAGAAGTGGTTGTCAAGCCGCTTCTGCACCACCCGCTCTACCACTTTGCTGGTGGCGGGAATGATGGAGACAGTCCGGAAATTGGATGTGTTCGCAGTGTCACCGGGCTTACGGATAGGGTGAATACTGCACTGTTTCCAGGGTTCAGGGTCCCAGGGTCCCTCTCCCGAGGAGACGGACAAATCTGAACCAAGCAAGGTGCGGTCGGTACAATAGCACACCGTTTCCTATAACTTCGGTGCTTTTTATTGCACGCCCTCTTTGTTCTCATTTGAGGCAATTAAGTGAAAACGATATTTTAATCGAACTGAACATAGTTTGCATATCGCCATTAAACGTCCTGGTCTGTACCGGATGATGATACTCGTTTTTCTTGGGACATCCATAAATTGGCATTTATTATAAACGCTCAAAACATCGCCTTAGAGCAGAAGCCATCATCCCACATGTTTTACTACCTGATGTTGTGATATCACCTCTTCTTCTCACCGCCCATCTGTCCACCCCCCCCCCCCCCCCCCCCCCCACCCCCACAAACGAATAGGCAAAGGGCTGGTCTTACTTCGGGGCCAGTTTGGTTCTGGTGGCACATAAAATCGAAAACTTGCCAAACAATAATTGCACAATTACGTCTATCTATATTACGCACATCAACACCATGGTACGTGAGGCCCCGTTCTGTTTTCCTCGCCTCGAGGCCGGATCGCGCTGACTGCTCCACGAGACTCCTGGCATTCCATTCTGAGGAGCATAGCGCCCACACAGCCGTCCAGATCCGCCAAAAAACAGCATCTACAAAACAGCCCTGACGGGAACCATTTTACGGAAACTGGCCGGGCTTGAACACACGACCGTGACAGAAGCCAGACAGACCGCTCACATGTCGCGGGAGCCAAACACTCCAGGCACTCCAAGGTCACGCCGCTGACCAACAGGGGCGACCCTGCACCGAGCACCCATCCCCCGAGGGTGGGTCCCCTCTCTAGGACACCCAGCGCGACCTCGCCACCGGCTCCGGGGGGCGCGGCGCCGCCCCTGGGCTAAAGGGCGAGACAGAGGCGCGGGACGAGCAGTGCGAGCCCGGCGGCCGGCGCAAGACCGACGGTCCATGGAGTCCGCCCATGTCCCTATCCGGCCAGACCCCGGCGGACGCCTCTGTCCGCAGCGGAACGCGGAAGCGGGGCCGGTCAGGCGAGCGCGTACCGACGCTACAGGCCGGAAGGTGCTCACGTGGAGCCGGGGAGCACAGTTCAAGGCGAGGTGCGAACAGGTTCGGTGCCGCAAGCCGGTCCGGAGCCTTGCGCCCGGACCGGCCCGGAGTCCTGCGCCAGGACCGGTCCGGAGACCTGCGCCGGGACCAGTCCGGAGCCCTGCGTCCGGACCGCTCCGGAGTCCTGCGCCCGGACCGGTCCGGAGTCGTGCGTCAGGACCGGTCCGGAGTCCTGCGTCCGGACCGGTCCGGAGTCCTGCGCCAGGACCGGCCCGGAGCCCTGCATCCCGAGTCATGCGTCCGGACCGTTCCGGAGTCCTGCATCCGGGGCCGGGCCGGTTTGATCTGTCCGCCCCACGCATGGTGGGACAGACGGTGCACAGCGACCGGCCGGGGAAGGGTGGGACACATAAACAATGGGACCCACCAGCACTGATCAGATCGTAGTTCCAAATCATGCGAGCACATGCCGATGCCGATACCATGCAATATGTGCGTCGTCGTTCCCTGACAATGCGGGAGGTAATAATGGCATCATGAGGCCGCTGGACAAACTTAGGCATGGATGCACTATTATGTACTGCGGAGCACAGCAAGGCAGCATTCCAGATAGCAGGGTGGAATTGGCGGATAGTGTTGAAGCAGCACTTTTGCGGAAACCGTACCCGACGTAAAGAAATACATTATTTAAAGAGTAGGCCAGACCGCGCACAAAAGGTCTTTGAGCATAGTTTTGATCGACGTTAGTGAGATAACTCGCATAATTTTCTTAACATGGCCAGATTAATTAAACTCCTTCTGGTTACCCTTAACGTTCGTCTGTTTCTTTATACTTAACTTGGCGACACATGCCGACAGTTACCCGAAATTCATGGCACCGAATCAAGGATTGCTTAAAGTAAGTCATGTCATAGAATAAAAGCTCCGGCACCGCTAGATCAAGTAAAGATGACATCAAAGAAGTGACCGAAGGCGCAGCTTTTCCGTTCGAGGGCCTGTCCGTGCTTCTAGACGCACTCGTAATCGCGTCATCTGAGATCTGATTCCACAGCAGTGTACGCAAATACACTGGTGCTTTTATAGCAGCTGTAACCGCATAATCGGTTGGCTTGAGAGCAGTGTTCGTCCTGGCCTGAAGGGCCAAATTTTTCACGGTATGACACGTGGCAAGTAAAAAAGTTCATGTTGCAAACAAGCGAAAGTTACGACATCCATGCTAGATATTCATTGAAAACGTCCAACGAGCATCAAGTGGTGGGTCACACAAAAAAGAGCGAAAAATCTAAGCACAAAGAAACATAAAAAATTACCAATGGAAAGAATCCAGCATGAAACCTTGTTTCCCACACGGATTACACCCTGATCCATAAAATAAGCCTTGACTTCAATGTTCGTCTTTATACTTAAAGACGACTTCAAGTTGAAAGTTGACTTCAATGTTCGTCTTTCACTGGCTGATCGACTAGTTCCTCACGTCTCCTTTACAATTTGGAGAACCGTGATGGCATTATATAGTGACAAAAAAGCCACAAACCAAAAGCACCCTCTACACTGACGTCGTTCACCTGATCCACGTGACAGCCCAGCCAAAACATGTGTGTCACCTTACCACTACAGCGTGCACGCCTGGGACATCCAGGCCGGCTACACGCCATTGCCGAACCCATCCCAAGTCCGACCTTAACTAGTGCGGCGTCTCCGACAGTCACTCACCTTGCTCAGCCTCTCCATCTGATCGGTGGCGTCCTTCTTAGGCGAGCCGACGGTACCAGCGGCGGGGGCGGGGGAGGGGGCGGGGTCAGCGAGGGCGGCCCCCTCGCCGCCGCCACCCTCAGACTCCACCGGCGCCAGCTTCAGGTCGTGCAGCCCCTGCGGCAGTCGGGGTACAGGTCAGGTCAGAAGGCGGTCACGGACGTGAGAAGATCTCGGGTCAGCCATGACCTGCGGTGACTACAGGCGGGCGCAGGTCGGTAATGAGGTCGTGCCGTCAAAGACGCCGGGCTCAGCACTATTCAGCTCCGCCTACTAGTTGATGCGGACGCAAGGGATTCTTCCAGGTGCCTCCCTAATTACCTCTTTACATGGAAATGACGGAGCACGCGACACCATCTCGAATCTTGAGCGCAGACTCAATAAAGAGCACTCGTCATCGGAGGAACTCTACAATGTCCCTCAAACAATGAGGAGGTCAACCATGACCATTAAAGGGAGCGTGTAGCCTTTATGTGCATTTCACTTATTATTAGATCAGACGAGTTAGATTTGATTGGTAATCCCAGTTAATCCCAGGTAATCCCTAGAAAGTCTTCCAAGTGACTCAGAATTTCGATTTCGAGTAGCCGCTCTTGCAGGAAAAATCTCACTGAACTCCTTGCTTACCACCATGAAAGTAATACCTTTCAGATGCCTTATTTTCTCCGGCGTTTGCGTTTGTTTGATTGAATTACACATATTTGTCAACATGTTTCTGCAATAAATCCTACAAAAGCTTGAAATACTCTACTTAGAAAATATGCAAAAATGAGGCTATTATCCCGCGAAACCAACGAAACGTTATACTATGGCTTTCACCTCTCCCCTTGGCGCTTGGCACAGTGGCTCTTTTCGAAGCGCACTTTGGCTTTGGGAAAGAAGTAGTAGATAGTCTTAAGTGACGGACTGGTTCATATTTCAATAAATGCGCTTCTCGGTAACTGGCCTTTGCCGCCTGCTGTGCTAATCACAGAAGTACCTTTGTACTGAGGTCACTCGTCCACTAAAGGTGACACTTTTTAGCCCGCAGGCCCGCAATGTGAGGGTTAAAACAGCCCAAAAGTGGCACCTCTGACAACAAAGCTGACAACGGCCCTCAGCAGATCCCGTCGTCGTCATGGCGACGGCAGTCGCGACAACAACAGTTGTGGTCTCGGGCTACACTCTGGGGCTAGCGCCGGCGGCTGACCTGGTTGAAGCAGCCCTCGGCGGTGAAGATCGGGATGCTGGTGGAGCCGACGACGGCGGCCGACTGCGGCCGGCTGGGCTCGAACACGGTGAAGCGCAGTGAGGCGTCCTCGGGCAGGTCGCAAGTAGCGCACGGGCATGCGTCCAGCCACTCGTTTCCAGCTGGGCAGCACGAAAGGCCAGTGTCCGTCAATGCATGGTCAGTGTCAATCAGTGTCACGGCCCGTGTCACGCCGATGCATGGTCAACGTCACGCCGATCCACGGTCAGTGTCACGCCGATGCACGGCCTGCGTCACGCCGGTACACGACCAGTGCGGCGTCACGACCAGTCCCCGCCATGTCCCACGGCCAGTGTCCGCGATCGATGCACGCTGCCAGGGTCACGACGCTGGTGCACGGCCACCGGTAATCCCCAGTCGCATGGAAGAACGCGTGGGAGAGTACACAGAAGGCACAAGGCACTCGTGTCAGCCGGGCCACAGCGTCGGTCGGTGAACCGATCGGTGCCACATCCTCACGCAGGCGCCACACACAGTTCCAGTGCGCACCACGCGTTAACAGACCCGTGAAGTGCTGCGTCTCGCTTCAGCTGGTCGTCTTCACAGACGGAGGGGCAATACGATTTACCGTCGATGGGTCATGCCCAGCAGGTGACAACAGCATTACACAAGCATGGTATGTCTCGAATTCCAGAGACGCATTGTGTAACTCTGCACACTTTTCAGCATTCTCCCCCATATTTGCATACCTTGCCCTGGCAGTGATGTTTAAGCATGATGGGTCCCACGGCCTTGTTGTCGCTGACACAGACCTCATCGAGCCCTTCATTTAAAAACCAACAGAAAACCTAACAGTTCATCAAGCAGCAAATGCTCACGGCCCAGAGACGACGACCAAGCAGCCTTCCCCGTCCACTCACTTCCATCGGGTGGTGAAGGCCTTGTAAGAGGTGGTGACGGGCAGCGCGAGCTCGCCGTCAGCGCCGCGCACCTGCACCTCGACGTACATGTCGGAGCACTGCTGCTGCCACCTGCCGGAGAACTCCAGCATCGGGTCGAGCAGCAGGTCCTCGAAGTCGGGCCGTCGCCGCTCGCCCTCCAGCGTCCCGCTGCCGGCGGCGCAAGGGTCACGCAGGTGTCACGGGTCACGCGGGGCCAGTGCATGTGTGAAGGGAAGGTCAGCACGAGCGGCGACAGGAACTAGCCGCTGCAGGCGGCTGGCGCAGCAGGTGGGGAGAGTTAAGACGCAGCGCTGTCAAAAAGGCTGCCAGCGTTGAACACAGTACTCCGCCACAGCGCATTGGCTACACATGGCTAACCAGGTTTATGCATTTGAAGGCACGACGAGCGATCCGAGTATGACACCACCGTAACAGTTATCTTAGGGAGCTACACTTCTTTGCACCGTCAATGATTTCGAGAACACCGTAAAATAAAAGAATAGCTTATTTACGGGAGCTGTCGCACGGCGTATGGTTATACACCAAGGGCTGCACCCAACACAGGCGGCTAAACGAAAAGTGTATGACGACCCACAAGGACCATTAGTTTAGAATGTTACTCACCACTAACATCCAACACGACGGGCATTGTACAAGCCTCACGAACATGCCGGGTTTCAGATTAATATGTCCAGACACCTTATACACGGTTCCGTTCTGAGCTGCCCGAGACACGGGCGGCTAAACAGAAACATTGCGATGACCGGGTCCGAGCATAAAGATAGCAAGATATCTGCCAGCGGGCACTGGTGTTCATCTTATCAGCATGTTTTCCAATCCGAGTTCCAAGATGACGTATGCGCGTTAAGCTACGGACGAGGATTACAGATGTATAGTGTTAGTAAAATAAAATAGAAATGTATATTTTGACAAAATCTGAGAATGACCACACATTTAGTGATCTTTGCCTGAGGATGAACAAAAAACATGCTATCGCAGATAGTTCTGGTTCGAGCAACATTGCTAAGGGAATGCCCCTGTTAACATTTTATGCCCTGATACTCGGTGCGGGTTATCGAAACATATCGGATTAGCCGCGTGGCTTCAGGTAACCTTTAGCGGTACTGTATCGGAAGCAAGGACGTGAGAACCTGAATGCCTGGGATTTTTTTTGGGGGGGGGGATGTACAATGTTTGTGGTAAGTAATTTTCTGACCTAATACACAGTAAGTGTTACTGCAACTCTCCGGCACAGCCTGCAGTGTTTCGTGCGGCCCTTCCTCAAGACAGTGATCAGGTGCTGAGATGTGGGAGCTTGGAACATTATTTGCAGTGGCAGTGCTTGCACAGTTCTGGGTGTTCTGGATTCATGTGTCTCTTTTTTGGAATTTTTGCTTCACCTTGTTCACTTTTGGCCAAAGCACAGCTTGAAACATTAAGTATTGGCAAATACACCTGACAATATTTAACCAATGCCTTTCAGCATCTTGGAAGTTCATGACTGAGAGCATACTTGCTCCTAATGATCCTATTACACTGCTCATGGGAACAAAAGGTCATTAATAAAAAGGCCTGAAATGTGTGAGGTGCTAACATGTACATCATGCATAATGTTGGGGGCATTCAAGGTCAGGGTAGCATTAGGGGAAGTTCTGAACATTGTCAAAGGTAAGGTAGTTGAACTCTTATAGTACACTGATAACAATCATGTGTACAGATTGCTACATGGTCATGCATTTCAATGTCATCACAGGTCAAGGGTCAGGGTCAACTGATAACTCACATCTTGACTTGTAAGTTTGCATCTAAGTCACAACTGTACACATAATAAAACTTGTCATCATATTCCTGGGATCCCATTACTGCTGGCTGAGTTTGTATGCCAATTCTTGCTGAGTGTATATGCTAATTCTTGCTGTCTTCCACAGTGTGCTTCAGCTCATTGCAGGTGACTGTGATCTATCAATCATTTGTTCAGTCCCTCATTCAACAGTAGATAACCTGAAACAGCACATCAGCAATGGTGTGATCAATAAATTGACTTGGAAAGCAGGGTTCCTTGTGGTATCACATCTCATGTTTTCATATTAGCCACCATTTTGAAATCCCACCAGCTATTTAGGAAATTGCAGTACTACAGTCACTCTGCTTTCTTCTTTTCAGCAGCAATAGTCTTGCTGACTAATTTTTTGACTGACTACTTTATTTTTGACTAAACTGACTACTAACTACTAACTAACTGACTAAGCTGACTAAAATTAATTGCTCTTGCTAACTTTTACTCAGCAATATCATGTATGTTCCTGTCCTGTTAGTGTTAGCAGGAATAGAGTAGTCAGTAGGGTTACAAGGGATGATGATGATGCTTAAGGCAGTAAGGTACACCAACTGTCCTGGTCACTGGTTGAAAGGAGTTATAGGGATAAGATAGAAGTGGGTACATGAGTAGGAATAGGATTATAGGCTTATAAAAATGAGCATTTAGAATATAACTGTGACCAGACAGAAAGAACAGCAGTTTACTATGGAAAAGCTGTTTTGTGATGTCAAAAATGATCAAGGCATTAAAAGCACATGAACCAGAAGAATGCACTCACACAACCTGATAGTGTAGTTCAGATGTGAAATGCCTAATCCAGCAATAATCCAACCACACCCATATTCACCCACATTTTCTGCCTAAATTTGAAAAGTTGTATGCCTTCACTATTTTTGCTAATTTGTTTTAAACTTACATAGACACCAAGGAAGAATACAGTAGCTCAGTTCAAGCCATGAAAAAGCTAAGACTAATGACCAGTGCATGTTCATCATACCAATTAGCATGGTAGACAAAAATATGGTAGCAGACTACAACCTTCAAAATTTAGATGCTGATGCATGCAATTAGTCATAAGTTTGTACAAATGCACACACATTATGCTAGGACCTTTCTAAAAACTAATTGTATTTCTACCAGTTTTAGGATAAATGAAAAATCATGATTCAATCTAGCATTCTTTCTTGCCCAACAAATCACACAGTATTGGAACATTATGACTCTGATGACTTCACACTGGTTGTAATATTATGGAGTGAGCAATGTCATATGGTAAGAAGGTACCATGAACACTCTGTGTTGCACCAAATACACATACTGCCTCTGAGCATGCCCATGACAAGCCTATAACAAGTACAATTACTATAATGTAAGGAGTAATGTCTAACCAACATATGCAAGGCCATATAAATTAGAGCAGGATGTTCTTACTTTTTAAATGCATATAGGTGTCAAACAAGGCAATCCTACTGATAGCAATGCACATCACTTGGAAGCTGATCTAACTGCTCCAAACTACAAATTCATCCACTGCACTGGACACCTCTGCAACATCTGCACACTGAACTTTGTGTATACATACACCAAACTCAGGCCAGGCCACCTTGCACTGGGTTTCAACTTATTTTGCAGCAAACATGTCTTAAAAATATTTACTGCAAATTACTGTCCTTCATTTTAGAAACATTTGCTCCTTATGCGCCACCATTGATGGCAAGCATGCATAAAATCCTGGGCCCTCGAATTAATTATGCCCATCGCTGAATTTTTTGTTGTGATGTCGCTGCTGCGACGGACAAGTTCTGAGCCACGAGTATTGTGTTAAGTCTGGGGATACAGCACACCGCATAGTTCATAGGCTTCCAAACTCACATAAAACGTTTAGGAGAAGCACATCACCTATGAGGAATACCTCAACAATACGATTTTCCAGGCTCGGGATTAGTTACACACATCGACACCCACCTCATCCGACACCACCAATCGCAACACAACAACCACACCAGACAATCCCGTGGCGTATCAAGGTTGAACCCAAGGATAAGCCTACTACTGGCTGTTCGTTACCTATTTGGTAAGAAAGGGAGCTTCCATATCCCAAAATCCTTGATATGCGAAGCAGAACCACAATGCTATTTGGCATCAAGCAATGCGTATAAATTTTGTTATACCTCATGCCCGATGGCTATATTTATTTTATGAAAGATGTATTAACAGATTATGGCAATTAACCACCGTTACTGAAAGCAAGACCATGTAAAATGTTAATTTTACTACGCCCTCAAAATGTTTCAAATATTTTTTCGCAGAACGCTGCTAAATACTGCTAGTTGTAGTTGACAATAAAAACGCACCAAAGTCAATCACTGAGTGAAGCTGCCAGGAAATGTTAGTTTAGGACGTCTTGGGTGCTGCATTCTGCGGGAATTACAGAGGAGTTCGTGCGTGGGTGTGGCGCTGCGTGGGAATTTGCGGGTTGTCGGATTCCGCTAGACTATACAGAAAGGCCTTCGGACATGCTCTTCTGTCCGAAAAGGTTGCCAGCGTAGGACGTAGGTGGGTGTATTCTAAAGACGGGGTAGATTTCCTCACGTCTCAGTTGCGGGCTTAAGGTGTGGTGAACGCAAGTGTCTGCTGTTCGAATGTATTTTGTTAAAATTTTCCAAAATGTGTTGTAAAGGTAGCTCTGGGATGAGGAATTTGTAACATATATGTGTTAAAGGGACTATGTTTTCAGCGGCACAGTGAAGCTCCACTGCCAAAAAAAGCATGTTATGCTGACAAAATGTCTGGCATTGATGCAACATTGTAGCAAAGATCCCAGAGCATGTCTATCACGTACTTGAATGCTTTCAGGTTGGTGCCTGGTCACCACTAATGCCAGTGCATAGAGACCCAATATTCGGTAAATTATTATGTGAAGGCTATTGCAGGCAATCACATTGTCCAAACCATTTTCATTTAAAAAATTATCTGAGAATTCAGCACAACTTGGCCTGGCCTGAGTCCCTGGCCTGAGATTGGGGCATGGCAGCACAAGTTTTAGTGTGCTGATGCTATGTATATATCTAGTAGATTTGTTTGCAGCCTGGTAGCCAATGGGGGCTGATAATATGTTAGTTGTCCCCTATTTCATCAGGATTAAGTGCATTTTATTGCTGCATTTCTGGAACACCAGTCATGAGGGATAGTTGAGAAGGTGTGTACAATATGCTGCTGATGTAATTGTTGATACCAGTGCAAATCAATGTTGGTAGTGCACTGATATACTAGATGCTTTATCTCTTAGTATTTGGGGCATATGTAGTTGTCTGATAACACATAGGCACTGGGAATGCAACTGAGACTATGTCTTAAACAAACCCTATCCCAAATAAGATAAATAAATGCTATCAAAACCTATGCCCATAATAAAACCTGTCCTGTTCATAATACAAAGATACTGTGAATAGGGATGAGACTATCCTAAAAATGCATATCTCCATAGCAAATTTTGATAGACTCCTCCCATATGACAAATCCTGGCTCCCACCATGGTACTTTTTGATATAGTGGAGAACTTCCATCATAACAATCAATATTTTCTGGCCATATGTGAGATGCAGTATCATTGCATGACCTAACCTTGCCTTACCTTATGGTGATCAGGAATTATAAAAGGCCACAAGGCCTGCAGGTCCTGGTCTTGTCAGGCCCCCAGTCTGGTGATCTAACAGTCTCAAATTGTGGATAGATTTAGTGTGAGATGTCATACATGATGTCAGCTTAGTGCATATCAAGCTTAGACTCAACTGGTCAGCTGAGGTTGATGACAGTATCAGGTATGGAAGAGCATTCCAATCATTGACAGCCCACATGCTGAACGAGTTATGACGGATGAGAGTCTTAGCTCGAGGTCTTCTGAGCTTCCATTAGTGTCCTCTTGTGACCTCTGAGTTGTGTCTTGTCAGGAGCTCCTCTTCCGACAGCAACATACCTCCGTGAAACTGCTGGTACACTGTTACCATGTCTCCTCTGCAACGATGGCAGTACAGCGAGGGCAACTGAAACAGTCTGAGCCTCTCAGGGCATGGCTGGCGCCTCACTTCATACACAAGCCGGGTAGCTCGTCGCTGAATCCGCTCCAGTCGCTTCTAGTCCAGTTTGCCGAACGGGCCCCAGATGACGCTGTCATACTCATAAGTACGGACGTACTAATATATTATAGAGCGATGGCAACGTGCGAGCATCGATGTTGGCTAAAAACCGTCCAACGACCGCCAGCATCTGGTTGGCCTCGGAGGTCGCTTCCGCTGTCTGCACGTGAAACTTGAGCCGGTAAACCACGAAGATCCCGAGGTCCTTCTCAGTGGACTCGGTCACGATTTCGGCGCCCTCCAAGAAGTAGGTCAGCCTCGGCTTGCAGTTCCCGATGCACATTATTGTGCACTTTGCTGCACTAAAGTGAAGCGGCCACTCCTTTGACCACTTAGCCAGGGCATCGAGATCAACCTGCAGAGATGAGGTAGTCAGGGGCCTCGGGACACGACAGCAGACCTTGGTGTCATCCGTGAACATCTTGACCACGCGTCACGCTTGTTCTGGCAGATCGTTCACGAAAATTATGAACAGCGTTGGTCCAAGCACTGATCCTTGCGGGATGCCGCTGACGACGTCGGTCCAGTCCGACCTCTAGCCCTGGGCCCGCACTCTCCGCATCCGGTTGGTAAGAAAAGCCCTGATCCAGCGTAGCAAATTACCTCTAACACCATAAGCATGCAGCTTGGAGAGCAGACGGTTATGAGGCACGGAATCAAATGCTTTGCTGAAGTCCAGGTACGCCACGTCCACTGGCCCTCCATCCTCTACTGCAGCGCTCCAATCTTCCATGACCTCCAATAGCTGGGTGATACAGGACCGCTTAGGGAGAAACCCATGCTGGGCTGCATGTAGAAGTCCAGACTCCGAGAAGTGATGAAGTAAGGCATCATGGTCGAAAGTTTCGAGTATCTTGGAGGGAATGGCAGTGAGGCTCACTGGACGGTAGCTCGCTGGAGATTGCCGGTTACCTTTCTTAAAAATCGGGACTACCTCGCCAAGCTTCCACTCCTTGGGGAGCCTTCCGGATGTCACAGATTTTCGGAAAAGCATGCTGAGGGGTGCTGCCAGGACATCTACAGACTTACGAAGAAGCCTTGGGTGGACATCGTCCGGCCCAGGGCGCTCGAGGTCTTCAGAGCAGCCAATTTCTTTGCCACTGCCTGGTTAAAGATGTCCACGTCATCCAGAAAAGGTCCAGTAAAGTTGCGCGGCAACACAGGCATGGCACTAGTACCTTCGTCCGTGAAAACACGCGAAGAATTTACAGAGGACATTGGTCTTCCTTTCGTTACTGCTGGTCAACACTCTATCATGGTCAAGACGGTGTTCTACCCTGCATCTTATGCTTAGTCTTGAGTTTGCATACTTCCAAAAGGCCTTGGGGCTTCTTTTGAGGTCCGCTACTAATTTCATCTCATACTCTTTCCGAAGGTTTCTGGTCAACTTCCGATGGTCATTGCGACACCGCTTAAGCCTGGCATGGTCTAGAACATCCTGGGTCCGCGTGTGCGTACGCCATAGTCTTTCCTTAGCCTTCTTTAGCTGCATGGCCGTTGGGTTCAAGTACAAGTTCTTCTTAGGATTAGCCCTTTTCTGGATGGAGCAAACCTCAGTAGCCCTGGCGATTCTCTCCTTGAAGAAGTTGTATGACTGCTCTTGTTTCAACGTGCATTTTCCGGCAATTTAGAATTTTTCTATAAAGAGAAGAAGCATATTGGCTATTCTTAAGGATTGATATAATCCAATATTCTGAGGGAAGAAAATTCATACCCACAATGCAATGACCAGAGTGCATGATGCATACCTATCAGTCTGCAGGGTATCTCCTTGTTTGCACCAGATTTAGGTTCAATGATTTAATGACGCAGATTTGATATATTTATGCTCACTGAACCAATGGGTAGTAAGCAAAGACCAGAGAATAGAGATGCACAATAAGAGGGGCTAGTCCTGTTCTTCAAACTACAGGTTAGTAACTATCCTCAGGTGTTTTGAAAATGTGCACCTCTTCTCACTTATCTGGATATGCCATGTATGTTCTCCCTTGGCCTGCCAGGAGTTGGTTACAGTATCAAGATAACTCACCCCCACACAGAGCAGTGACTGGTATTTTGTGAGTGGCTTGCAGAAGATGGTGTAGATATGCTTTTAACAGCTTTCAAATATACTTTTTCCTTTCAGACACTTACACCAAACTTTTAAGACATTTTTATACCAAAAATTTGTGTTTTCCACATCAAGCTCTTCTGAGGAGCAAGTGGGAAGCCCACATGAAGGCCATTTGACATTGGCTTTGGCATGTTAAACAGGTGCAATGTCTGCACAGTACCATGCACAAATTTGGGAGCCTTTTCTGTGCTACAAATTTTGTGCAAAATAACCTCTTTAGTTCACCTACTTGCAAGAAATAAAATGCTGAACAGGCTCTCCCTGAGAATATGGCCAGATCCAGTTTGTATGCCCGCTCTCCAACCCCACAGCGTTTGGGAGGAGCGGCCATCCCAGTTACGCCCTGTCACATCCTGTGCAACTTGGTGGCATAGAGTGTCCTCTGGAGACACAGAGTCATGCCCATGCACCAGCAGCATACAGTAGTCTGACACCACCCCTCACCCTGAGTCATGCCCGTGCACCAGCAGCATACGGCCATCCTACACCACCCTCGCCCTGAGTCATGCCCGTGCACCAGCAGCATACGGCCATCCGACACCACCCTCGCCTGAGTCATGCCCGTGCACCAGCATACGGCCATCCGACACCACCCCTCGCCCTGAGTCATGCCCGTGCACCAGCGGCATACTGCCATCCGACACCATCCCTCGCCCTGAGTCATGCCCATGCACCAGCAGCATACGGCCATCCGACACCATCCCTCGCCCTGAGTCATGTCCGTGCACCAGCAGCATACTGCCATCCGACACCACCCCACTCGCCCTGTCATGCCGTGCACCAGCAGCATACTGCCATCCACACCACCCCTCGCCTCAGTCATGCCCGTGCACCAGCAGCATACGCCATCCTACACCATCCCTCGCCCTGAGTCATTCCCGTGCACCAGCAGCATACTGCCATCCGACACCACCCCTCGCCCTGAGTCATGCCCGTGCACCAGCAGCATACGGCCATCCTACACCACCCCTCGCCCTGAGTCATTCCCGTGCACCACCAGCATACAGCTACCCGACACCACTCCTCGCCCTAACTGGCTGTCCTCACCACACCACGCGATGGCTGTGAGCGTCAGCTGATCAGGCTACCACGCCGCCTCCTCGCTGACGACGCGTCGTCCCTCCCGCAGGCGCCTCCGCCAGCATGGCGTCGACCGTGATCACCCCGGCGACCGAGGCTCCGTCTGAGCCTACCGCCACCGGGTCGCCCGCGCCCGGCCCGACCGAGGCCAGCACGGCCGAGAATGTGCGATCGCTGGTCCAGGTGGAGGGCCGCGCCGCCAGGAACCTGCTCGTCTTCAACGTGCTCGTGGACAACAAGAACCCATCGTCTGGTGCGAAAGGCCGCAGTGCTGCCCGTTTGTAGTATGCTGAGTTGTCTTCCTGCGTTGGCTATTGGTCGGAAGATTTTTGGCGCGTAAACGTAAATCAATTTCAATGAATAATTATTTAAGATTTCAGGGCGCTGGTTGCGGTACGAGTGTAATGTTGATGGTCGTCCAGCGTCGGCACCTGACCTCGGCTCTGCCAATACTCTGGTTGGGAATCCTGTTGGTGCACCGGCCGCGTCTGCCGGAGCGGGCATGTATCCCCTCCCAGCCGTGACCAGTGGTCCCTGCCGCCCTCAGTGCTACGCTCGCCGCGCCGCCAGCCGGCCGCGTCGGCGGGCGGCGCGTCGCCGCGGCCCGGCCGCGCCCCGCGCCAGGATGAGCGGCCCCCAGCGCGGCCCGCCGCCGGCCTGGCGCACGCGCGCAAGCGGGGCCGCGCGCGCTCCGTGTCGGCCGGCCGCGGCGCCGCCAAGGGCCTCCACGCGCGCTACTGGAGCTTCCTGTTCGAGAACCTGCGCCGCGCCGTCGATGAGATCTACCAGACGTGCGAGACAGACGACAGTGTGCTCGAGTGCAAGGTGCGGCGGGGGGGGGGGGGGGGGAGAGAGACGGCAGGATAGCTGTGGCAGGATGTTACGTTCGTGTTGTTAGCTGGTTGGGACTATTGGATGCAAGTGTTTAGACACTTTAAGTCATGGGCTTCGATTGCATGAACGGGTGCTGCTGTTGTCAGCGAATGCTCCGTTGGCTCACAGGCTTACGGTTTCGGTTCTCAGGAAACCATCATGATCCTAGAGAGGTGCACGCAGGACTTCCGTAACTTGATCGAGTGGATGAAGATCAAATGGGAGTATGACCACACGCCGAAGCCCCAAAGACCGGCGTCGGTTGCGTGGGAAATACGGAAGACCTCTCCAGGAAAGGTGCGGATCTGGCTGCGGGGAGCGCTGCTGCGGGGTTTCCGTTATTGGCGCGTGCTAGTACCACCGCACTTGTAATTCTTCTTGTAAATGGTGGTCTGTGAAGCATGATATTCGATGTAAATGATCGTATTGTTGCTTAGTACAACCGTCAACTAAGCGCATTATGCTCGGTATGCCGTGGTGGCCCGTTGGCATCTGGCTTTGTGTGGTGTGTCGTCACCGGACGTCACGTGTCGCCTGAGTCTGCCGCCACGCCGCCGACTCTGCCCTGTTAGCATGGCAGTGGATCTTGCTGTGTTCTGTCCCCATCGGGCGCTCACCCGCCCGTGTGAGCCCTTCGCCTGTCTGTCACCGCCTCAACCCGTCCAGTCGCCTCATCAGCCGCTGATCGGTCTGTACCGCTGCCGCAGCTTCCTCTGGCTCTGGTCGAGAAGAAGCTGATAGGCGACCAGAGCCGCCGTCAGCTGGCGTTCGAGGACCGGAGCACGGCGGACGCGGCCACGTGCACCGATCTGCAGGCGGCCGGCGACCCGGACGGCGCCGTCGGCCGCTACCTGGAGCACGCGCTGCGCTCAGCCATCGATGCCACGGCCGCCGCCGGCGCCGACGCAGGCGTCGACACCTGCGCCGATGCCGGCGCCGACGCCGGGCCGCCGCGGCCGGCCGGGCCCGCCGAGGCGCCGGGTCGGGCGGCGCCGAACGCCGAGCCGGCGGCGAAGGCCGAGGCGGAGGCGGGGACAGCGGGCGGCGCCGGCGGAGAAGACTGAGGCGGAGGCGGGACAGCGGGCGGCGCGCGGCCGGCCAGCGTCGGCGCCGCGGCCGCGGCCGACGCGCGCGGCCGGCCCGGCGGCGGCGCGTCCGCAGGCGGCCGTGTCGCCGCGTGGCGCTGCCGGTCGTGCCGCGCCGGGCCGAGCGGCGGCGGCGCCGGCGGTCGGCCGCGGGGTCAGGCCAGAGCTGAGGCCTGCCGCGCGAGCGCTGCAGGTGAGGGCGGCCAGCCGGCTCCGTGACCGCTGGCCGGGCTGATCATGTTTGGTGCAGCGAAGAACGTGAGCATGCGGGAGTCGTGCTGAACTAACGCATAGGGCCGTGTCGGTCCTGTTGCGTTTTAGGTCGGACCCGGCCCAAGCGCTCATGCCAGACCGATGATGTTGGGGTTAAACAATCGTCAGTTGTACTGCACTGTTTGAGGCTGAAATGTTGTCCGTGGCCCTTTGCTCTCGTAGAGGTTGGTAACGTCACTCGCCCCTGGGTTATTTGTCGCAAGCTACGCCGCCAAGTGTCGACGCTGGCGGTGGCCTCCTGCCCTCCTCAGCCGCCTGACCTCGTTCCCCGCGTCTCCGGCAGCCGGCGACGGCTCGCGGCGGCGGCAGCGTGCGGCCTGCCGTCGGCGCCCGGCGGGCGGGGACCGAGCAGCGACCGCGCGCCGGCCAGAGGGGCCCGCCGCCCGTCAGGAGCCACGGCACGGCGGGGAGAGCGGCTGCCGGCCGGGCGGCCCCCGCCGGCCCGCCCACGGTCAGTAGCGCCGCCTGGTGGCCGGCGGCGCTAGTGTGCGTGGCCGCCGCTGCTCAACAGACGGTCAGCTCAGCTCAGGCGGTCTGATGGTCCGGAAGGGACAGTGGTCCGGGACGGACTCATGTGACCACGCGGTGATTGAACGCTAGCCTGTTCTTTGCCGCATTGCTTCCACCATTATCCACCTGCTCTGTGAAGTTGATCGCACTGTCGTTTGTGGACGCCATCCTTACGCGAACCATCACATTGAGTACGAACCTCGTGGGACTCGGCGTCGTACTCTGGCATCACCTCGTTACGATTTGGGCTGTGCCTGGCTGTGACGGCCGCGCGCCGGTGCCCCAGTCCCGGACCGGCATCCAGCGCTCGGTCACCATCTGCACGGACCGGCCGCCGGCGCCGGCCCAGCTCTACTCCAGCTGCGTCAAGTCGCACTCCAACTCGTCGCTCAGCTCCACCACTTCGTCGTCGGGACACAGCTGGGCGGACCGGGTGCGGGGCATTACCGCTCCGTCAGCGGCGGCGGCGGCGGCGGGCGTGCCCGCTGGTCCCGGCCCCGGCGCCGGCGTCGGGGCCGGACCCGGCTCCGATCCGGCTGCAGCCCCGGTCGAAGGTCAGTGTGCGGGATGGGGGAGCATACTGTCGCCGTGAGGTATGCTGCTGGGAGGCTGCGGTCGTGCCGCGTTGTTACTGAATCAAGCCGGGACGAAGCCTTGGGGCAGAGCATGTCGATGGTTTTAGCGGCCGTCGTGCATTTCCGATTGGTGGAATCAACAGGTCGTGTTTCCGAGTTCGCAAACGTTGCTTTTTCAGATGACGGCGGCGGTTGGGAAACCGTAAAGAGCAGGTCCAGGTCCCGGCTGTCGCCCCTCAACCAAACTGCCAGGAGGGCACCACTGCAGGTACTGGCTTCATTTCCGTGGTCTCCCACCATATGTCAGACGACTTGTGCGGGCCGTGTGCGTGCGACTGTACACAACTATTCCAGTTGTGTTTTGGTTTTAGCGGGTAGCGTGATACGACTTGTGTCCGCACCACCGTCATTACGACTGTAGGAGCTGTTGTGTACGCGCCCGCACTGTGGCGAGCGGACCTCTGACCCTGGCCGCTCGGCGTCCGGCAGCGGAAGGGCTCGGCCGAGGCGGCGTGCGTGCGCCCGTACAGCGCGCGCGCCCGCTTCCAGCAGCCGACGTCGGCCGTCTCGCTGCCGTCGCTCTCCAGCATCGCCGCCGGCGACGAGACGGACGAGGAGCGGCCCGAGCGGCGCGCCAGCGAGCGGGCTGGCCGAGCGGCGCCCCGCCGCGGCGGCGCGCGCCGCCCGGCGCCGCCGCCGGCCCGGCCGCAGCCCACCGAGTCTCTGCGCCGCTCCTGCGAGCGCGTGCCCAGCCAGCCGGCCGGCCGACTGGCGGAGGCGGCGGCCGGCGGTCCGCCACCGCCACCGCCACCGCCGCCGCCACCGCCGCCGCCACCGCCGCCGCCACCGCGGGAGGAGGGCCAGGGCGAGGCGCGGCGTGAGGCAAAGCCGGTGCGGCTGGAGATCGGCCGGAGCGACGCGACCAGCGGGTGAGTGGTGCCGGTCGGCGAGCAGGCAGGTACATCGCACTGCCTCGTGTGGTGGATTCGTGGAGGTCCCATGATGCCTGGCGTGACAGTTTATGTGACATTCGGAGCGTCTCGGGAGCAATATCTTCGCGTGGCAGTGTCACGTGTTCTTGTTCTTTCAGAGCGGCCAAGCGTGAGGTTGCCGGGACTCTGGCGCCGTCCGTTGCGCCTGCGGCGCCGCCTGCGGACCCGGCCATACATTCTTCCGTCCCCTGCCTTCGCTCCCCCTCGCCTCCCACCTCCTCGCCGCCCACCTCGGCCTCCCAGTCGCCGCCGGTGCTGGCGGTGCCGCCGCCGGCCGCGACCTCGGCCACGCCCGCCTCCGCCTCTGCGGCGGCGGACGGGGCCGGCCGTGATCTGGCGTCGCCGGTGACCCCGCGTGACCTGACCTCGCCCGAGCTGGACGAGGACAGCGTGGACGAGGAGATGGTGATGGCCGAGAAGGCGCTGCAGTCGGCCATCGTGGAGGAGCGCCAGCTGGAGCAGCAGCTGGCCGAGACGGAGAAGTGCGTCATCGAGGTGGGTCCACCGTGCCGGCGGTCCGCGGCGACGGCAGATGGCTGTGTGAACCTCAACAAGCAAACGCTTGTGGCGGTGTCCTCACTGTTACTCCTCAGTGGAAAAACCGTGTCTGTTTATGGCATGCAAAGTCTAAGCTTTGTATTGTGGTAAGGGCTACTGATGTCTACGAAGGACGGGCTTTTGCACACAGACTGATGCGATATGGACAATAAATCGTGCAGATTTATGGCACGTTGCACATAGTCGTTGGCGCCATGACATCCGTGGACCATCCCCGTGGCCGATAAGATGAGGTCGAGGGCTGGTGTCCTCTTGCATCAGATTTTACTGCTTGAGAGGTAGAGGAAGAGAAGGCTCTAACCCTTGGCCTCGTCAGTACCTGACGTTCAGATGGCGGCTGGGGTAATGACGTCAAACCTGAAACTGGGAACAGCTGGCGTCGTGTAGGGAGATGGTATCCCCCTCAACATCGACACACATTAGATTTGTTACAAAAATCTCACGCAGCAGCCTTGTAAGACAGTATCTGATCGCGAGCGGTGTCAGCGATTAAGCTGATCAACCAGGAACAAATTAAATCCCTGGGACCCGACACGATACGTGTGGTGGCCATCGTTCATGGGCATGGGTGTATGGAGGTGTACCTACTGCCGCACCTGCGCGGCCGCCAGCACCAGGAGTCGGTGCGCGCCGCGGCCGGCGCCGACCTGGCGGGCGAGGAGCTGCTCACGTACAACGTGCGCCACATCACCGACGCCGCGCCCCAGCACGTCATGAACCATACATCCATGATGGTGGCCATCGAAAGCCACAAGTCCCGCCTAGCACAGACTTGAAACCGAAGGCCGGCGGCGCAGCCGTTCGGGACATAATTCCAGTCCAGGGCCTGCCCAGTCGCGCAGCAGGGTAACAGTACTAGTAGCGCTTATTTTGTACGTCTGCGCACCAGAAGTGCGGGCCTCGATTGTCCCGTTCTTGCCATGGTGAAAGTCAGGCGACGGCGCATGGCCTTAGCAGCTGAGTGCGCCGTAAAGCCCCGACGACGGCGACACAGCAGCGGCTGACACCGTGTGCTGCGGCCCCGGCAGGTGGACACGGAGACGGACGGCGACTCGACCTCGATCGACACCGAGTGTGAGGGCGACGGTGACGAGGAGTCGGGCCGCACGGCACCCACGCCGCGCAGCCTCATCGAGGACCAGTACGCGCCCGAGCTGGAGGGTAAGGCGACGTCTCGCCGGGGAGGGGGGGGGGGGGGGTGGACGCGGCTGGGTGGACGCCACTGCCTAATGAGGCGTCTAGCTGACTCGAGCACCAGGGCTGTTGGTTAGCGTTCGCCACGCATGTTGGGGCGGCGATCAGCGTCCCGCTCCCATCACGGGGGAGGGGGAGGGGAGGGAACGCTTTGCTGCGGGTGGGATGATCGGGTGGCTTCACGTAGCCTTCCGCCGGGGCTGAGACGGGAGCGATATCCCGCATGATTTGACGTCACGCCCGTGGAGGGAAACGCGCCCTGCACCGGCAGACCTGCGCGTGATGACCTTTGCGCGTGTACGTGCGCGGCAGGCCTGTCGTGGGGCGACCGCATGGACATGCTGGAGGAGCTGGAGGACATCTCCAGCCGCAAGCCGGGGCGCGGTCTCCAGATGCACGAGAAGCTCTCATCTCCCAGCCGCAAGAAGGCGCTCTCCGAGACGATTCGACTGCACCAGGAGCGCCAGAAGAAGGCCAGTCACATGCGCCAGACGCTGATGGAGCAGAAGACGCAGAAGCTCAGCGAGATCAGCATCAAGGTGCGTCAGGCGGCGGGACGTCCAGCGCCGGCCTGTGCCGCGCGAGTGGCGTGTCCTGTCGAGTCGGCTTAAGGGCGTCGCTTAGGTCCCGAGAGCTTTTCCGGCCTGGTCGTGCCGCGCTGTGTGGTGTCGCGCGCACTGGTCAGGCGTCCTGACTCGCCGCGCCGCCGCCAGATCGAGGAGGTGCGTCAGCAGAAGGAGCAGCTGCTGGAGCGGCGCCGCCTGATGCTGGAGCGCAAGATGTCGCGCGCTGAGGAGAAGCGCAAGAAGCACTTGCAGGGTATCGTGCGGCGCGCGCACGACGAAGAGGAGAAGGCCAAGGAGATCGCCTTCATCAACGAGATGGAGGCCAAGAACAAGCGGCACGAGTTCCTCTCGCAGATCCAGGTGAGCAGTGACGTCACCTGGTGGGTGTGGTCGTTTCGCGGGCGTCGGCGTTCCTCTCGCAGATCCAGGTGGGCAGTGACGCCACGTGGCGGGTGTGGTCGTATTGGGGGCGTCGGCGTTCCTCTCGCAGATCCAGGTGGGCAGTGACGCCACGTGGCAGGCGTGGTCGTATTGGGGGCGTCGGCGTTCCTCTCGCAGATCCAGGTGGGCAGTGACGCCACGTGGCGGGTGTGGTCGTATTGGGGGCGTCGGCGTTCCTCTCGCAGATCCAGGTGGGCAGTGACGCCACCTGGTAGGTGTGGTCGTATTGGGGGCGTCGGCGTTCCTCTCGCAGATCCAGGTGGGCAGTGACGCCACCTGGTAGGTGTGGTCGTATTGGGGGCGTCGGCGTTCCTCTCGCAGATCCAGGTGGGCAGTGACGCCACCTGGTGGGTGTGGTCGTATTGGGGACGTCGGCTGTGATCGTCTTGCACGCGTGGGATGCTGCGCCGTGGACTGATTTGTGTTCAGGCCGGTTGGCGTTGCTGTAGATGTTGCTTGATTAAGCGATCGATAGCCATGTTTCAGTAGCCGGCGTAGGTGCTGCCACGCTATTGTCAAAGCAGACGTATGTGTCTACTGCTGGTTATGCGCGAGTTTCATATTGCCACTGTTTCCCATTGGTGCCGCATTGTGAGCGGTATGCTGCCTGATGGCTCGTCTTGAGGGTAATTTACTGACGCCTGGCCAACCTTCTGCGCAATCCTGCGTTCGTTTGGGTCGCTGTCGTCTGAGCTGAAACCCTAAGTGAGATGACTATGCTGAACCATTTCTGGCCTATTTCCCCATCAAGGCTAGAAAAGTATGTGGCCGCGTGACGTGCACTGACGCCCGCGGTGTCGACAACCCCGTGTCGACTTCGCGTGTCTTAACCTGACCTCGTCTGACCTCGCCCCTGCCGCCCTGACCTCGGCTGACCTGGCGCCGCCGGCCGCCGCAGACGCAGGAGGCGCGCCTGGCCGGCATCCAGGAGGAGCGGCAGCGCCGCGTGGAGGAGAAGGCCGCCAAGGAGGCGGCCGTGGAGGAGAAGCGACGCGCCCTGGAGCAGGAGCGGCGCGTCAAGCTGGAAGAGCTTAAGCAGAAGCGCCAGGAGCGCCTGGAGCGCATCCACCGCGAGCAGCAGGACAAGGAGAAGGAGCGCCAGGAGATGGCGCGCGAGAAGCAGCGGTGAGTGTCGGCACCGGGTGCAGCGTTACGCTCGCTTACGTGACGCTGGCGGGCGGTGGTGGCTGTGAATAACCTCACAGGCCCGTCCTGTTGCACCCGGACCTTGATGTCTTGCTGCACCACTGGAACAGATGTGTCGCACAGCATGTGGTGCGTGGAAATAACGGTGCCTGTGATAGCTATGTGATGCAGTTTTTGCTCATATTCTGATAATCTATAAAGGTGCATGTGTTGAAGTAGGGGTCGGCGTCTCCCCAGAGAGGATGGGTCATGGATGACCAGAATCACCAGTGCTATCGGAGGTGAAGTCGCTGACACTGAGCCGATTTTGATGTCCCCGTGCATGCCTGCCCCACACTGTGTGTCTGCAAGGCGTCTTACAGCCTCGGCTGGCGGATTCCTTTTGGATGGCGTCATTTGGCGCTGACGCACGATTCCCTGCCTTGCCCTCCCCCCCCCCCCCCCCTCCTGTCCGCCCCCGCTCCCCGGGCGGTGGCCAAGCCTTGTTCCGCCATGGTTCTCCGATGGCATGATCTGATAGTGGGAGCATTGCTCGGCTCTGGCCCCCACCCCCCGAAGTCGGACACTCCTTGCCAGTGAACGTGATGAGCACCTCTGACTGCTGTCCCTCCCTGTGACAGGGACCGGGACGGACACCTCTGACCGCTGCCCCTCCCTGTGGCAGGGACCGGGACGAGCAACTCTGACTGCTGTCCCTCCCTGTGACAGGGACCGGGACGAGCACCTCTGACCGCTATCCCCCCCTGTGACATGGACCGGGACAAGCACCCCTACCGTTGTCCCTCCCTGTGGCAGGGACCGGGACGAGCACCTCTGACCGCTGTCCCTCCCCATGACATGGACCGGGACGAGCACCTCTGACCGCTGTCCCTGCCTGTGACAGGGACCGGGACAAGCAGTGGCAGGGACCGGGAGGAGCACCTCTGACTGCTGTCCCTTTCTGTGACAGGGACCGGGACGAGCACCTCTGACTGCTGCCCCTCCATGTGACAGGGACCGGGACAAACAGTGGCAGGGATCGGGACGAACACCTCTGACTGCTGTCCCTTTCTGTGACAGGGACCGGGACAAGCACCTCTGACCGCAGTCCCTTCCTGTGACATGGACCGGGACGAGCACCTCTGACCGCTGTCCCTCCCTGTGACAGGGACCGGGACGAGCACCTCTGACCGCTGTCCCTCCCCGTGACATGGACCGGGACGAGCACCTCTGACCGTTGTCCCCTCCTGTGACATGGACCGGGACGAGCACCTCTGACCGCTGTCCCTCCCTATGACATGGACCGGGACAAGCACCTCTGACCGCTGTCCCTCCCTGTACAGGGACCGGGACGAGCACCTCTGACCGCTGTCCCTCCCTGTGACATGGACCGGGACGAGCACCTCTGACCGCTGTCCCTCCCTATGACATGGACCGGGACAAGCACCTCTGACCGCTGTCCCTCCCTGTACAGGGACCGGGACGAGCACCTCTGACCGCTGTCCCTCCCTGTGACATGGACCGGGACGAGCACCTCTGACCGCTGTCCCTCCCTGTGACAGGGACCGGGACGAGCACCTCTGACCGCTGTCCCTCCCCGTGACATGGACCGGGACGAGCACCTCTGACCGCTGTCCCTCCCTGTGACATGGACCGGGACGAGCACCTCTGACCGCTGTCCCTCCCTGTGACATGGACCGGGACGAGCACCTCTGACCGCTGTCCCTCCCTGTACAGGGACCGGGACGAGCACCTCTGACCACTGTCCCTCCCTGTGACATGGACCGGGACGAGCACCTCTGACCGCTGTCCCCCCTGTGGCAGGGACCGGGACACCTTGGCATGGACGGGACGAACACCTCGACCGCTGTCCCTCTGTGACAGGGACCGGGACGAGCACCTCTGACCGCTGTCCCTCCCTGTGACAGGGACCGGGACGAGCACCTCTGACCGCTGTCCCTCCCTGTGACAGGGACCGGGACGAGCACCTCTGACCGCTGTCCCTCCCTGTGACATGGACCGGGACGAGCACCTCTGACCGCTGTCCCTCCCTGTGACAGGGACCGGGACGAGCACCTCTGACCGCTGTTCCCCTCCTGCGACAGGGGACCGGGACGAGCCACCCTCTGACCGCTGTCCCTCCCTGTGACAGGGACCGGACGGAGCAACCTCTGACCGCTGTCACCTCCCTGTGACATGGCCCGGGAACGAGCAACCTCTGACCGCTGTCCCTCCCTCGTGACATGGACCTGGGACAAGGAGCCACCTCTGACCGCTGTTCCCCTCCCTGTACAGGGACCGGGAAGCGAGCACCCTCTGACCACTGTTCCCTCCATGGTGACAGGACCGGGACGAGCACCTCTGACCCGCTGTTCCCTTCCCTGTGACAGGGACCGGGAACGAAGCACCTTCTGATGCCGCACTGTTCCCTCCCCTGTGACAGGGACGGGACGAGCACCTTCTGACCGCTGTCCCTCCCTGCTGACATGGGACCGGGACAAGACCACCTCTGACCCCACTGTCCCTCCCTGCTGACCATGGGACCTGGGCCGAGCACCTCTGACACGCTGTCCCTCCCTGTGACAGGACCGGTACGAGCCAACCTCTGACGCCTGTCCCTCCCTGTTGAATGGACCGGGAACGAGCACCTGCTGACCGCTGTTCCCTCCCTGCGACCAGGGGACCGGGACGAGCACCTCTGACCGCTGTCCCTCCCTGTGACAGGGACCGGGACGAGCACCTCTGACCGCTGTCCCTCCCTGTGACAGGGACCGGGACGAGCGGATCTCGGCGCTGCACGCGGCCCAGCAGGCGACCGCCGAGGAGCTGCAGAAGCGCATCCAGCAGAAGCAAGAGGAGTCGGCGCGCCGCCACGAGGAGAACATGGTGCAGATTCGCCAGAAGGCGCTGGAGCTGAGCGTGCGCAGCGCCGCCGCCGGCAGTGACGACACGGGCGCCCAGCTGGCGCCCTACGACACCAAGAAGATGTGCACGCTCTGTAACGTGCTGGTGCGTCGGCAGAGACTGGTGCCGCGCGGGATGTCCTGCGATCCTCGTTACTCGTGCATTGTGGGACGCGTGTCTCGTGTTATCGTTTTGTTGAACGGATACTGTGTGTCGATCCTTTTTTGCGTTGCGCGTATCTTATCGATGCCCGTTGTTTTGCTGTTGTTTGCGCGTTGAAGCCGCGTTTAGCAGCACCTTTCAAGTCAAGGTAGTACCAGGTCTACCACATAAAGATAGTACCAGGACTACCACGTAAAGATGGTTCCAGGTCTACCACATAAAGATTATACCAGGTCTACCACATAAAGATAATACCAGGTCTACCACATAAAGATAATACCAGGTCCCAAAAGCTACCACATGCAGTGAAGATGTCTGAAAAATTAAGTAAGCAACGTTCAGTTTTTACTTCCATCTGGGTTTGCATCGCTGGAAATCATTGTGGAACGTCATAATTCAGTCTGGCTTGGGAGAGCGAGGTAAGGACCTGCAAGCCAAACTTGTGCAGTTTCTCCTCAAACGGCCCACTGCATGCCTGTGACGTATCGGCCGCCGCCTCTGGCCGCAGATCGGCTCGGAGGTGTATCTGCTGTCGCACCTGCGCGGCCGCCAGCACCAAGAGTCGGTGCGCGCCGCGGCCGGCGCCGACCTGGCGGGCGAGGAGCTGCTCACGTACAACCTGCGCCACATCACCGACGCCGCGCCCCAGCACATCATGAACATGACCTTCGACAAGGAGCGCCACAAGACGCTGCGCAAGCGCTGCAAGAAGATCAAGGCGCGCATGGTGGCCAGGTGAGCCCGGCGGCGGGGGCGGAGTCGGCGGGACGGCGGGACGGCGCGGGCCGCCCGCGGAGCGAGACGAGGCGTCGGCTCCGGCTTCCGTCCGGTCTCGGATGTGCGCAGTGCTTGGGTGGTGACCGGAAGGCGAGGTTGGGTAGCGGCTGACGTGTGTGGTCGTCCTCACTTGCAGGACGCTTGAGGCGGCGTGGGCGGGAGGCTGGTAGTCGCTTGGTTGTTTACTGTTGGTTTGAAGTCGTAATGGTCGTCTCGTTGAGTCGTCACTTTTTAACACTTTGAATGGTACTGACTGATCGTCTTGAAAGAACGAGCAGACAGCAATCGGTGCTCTGGCGTGGGTCGTGCGAGAGAAAAGTATTTTAGCAGGCCAAGCGAAATGAAAGTACTTATGTGTCTTACAAATGTTCAGGTACACATGTTGCTCAGTACGTGGGTTCTCAATGGCATGTCCCATGCGTGTGTTCTATGAGTTATCAAAGCTCCTCAAGATTTTCCATGGTGTGATATACCATTCTTGTCCTGTGCGCTAGAGATATGCATCGTTGGATAAAGGATCGAGGGTACCCTCCTGCATCCTTCAGCGATTCGCCGAGTCGTGGCGGGCGTCCGCGAGTCCCGTCTCCTGCTGATCCCACAGACAGGAGGAGTTCGCCAAGTCGTCGCAGGTGCGCCAGCCGCCGGTGGACTCGCCGCACCGTGCCAAGCTGACCAAGTGCGTGAAGGAGCTGAACAAGACCGTGTCCGGCCAGGGCCGCGGCCCGTGGCCGAACGCGGCCGTCTCCGCTCTGGACCGCACCCTGGGAGAGATGACGCGTGTCCTCGAGAAGGGGGTACGTCGGCGCTGATGACTCGCGCCGAGGCACGCCGTCCAGGTCCTCCTCGGATCGCTGCCCGGGCTGGTCGCCCAGCACGGCGTCCTGCCGCCGTTGGCTGCTTTGCGACCGTGGTGTTCTTGGCTTGAACGGTCTCATCACGGCGTGCCGGCGCGTAGGCACGCCGTGAACGATTTGCCGCATCAGCGCAGCTCGAATGTGTACTGCTATTTCTCAACCCCGCTAATCGGTACACCGCTGCTCGGCAACTGGCTCCGTCCTTGATGGGAGGCGCCTGGGAGGCCGTCTGTCCAGCGTGCGGCGCGCGCCCTCTGGCTGGTCCGCTCCGGGTCCGACCGCTGACCCCCGTCGCGACCGTGGCCATGCCCTGACTCGGCGCTGCACGCCGCCAGATTCGCGGCCGACCAGACGACCCTGTGCGCCAGCGGCGGCCTGGCCGTGCTCTCCGGCATCATCTCCGAGATCGAGCAGGAGCTGGCACGAGACGTCGAGATCGTGCCGGCCCGGTAAGCATCGCAGGGGGAGACCGGAGACCGCGGCACGCTGACGCCGTCCGCTCGCTGGCTCGTCTGCGGTCGTGCGGCCGCTGCAGCCCCCCCCCCCCCCCCGTGCTCAGCTGGGGGTGTCGTCCCCCTGCCCCCTGGCCTCGTGTGACCAGGCCATGTGTGGTGGCAAGCTTAACGGACCGGACAGTCCTGACTATCCCAGCGCGCAGCTCGTCATCACACCGACTGTGCGGGGGGCGGGGGGGGGGGGGGGAGGACCCCTGAGTAGGGCCGTGGGTTCCGTGCCAGACGTTCTAGCGGTGTACGGCTCGGAGCCGGGTCACTCGCGGGCCCGAGTCAGCATAAAAGACGGCTTGTTTGGGCCTTTCCAGCTACCAGTAGGCTGACTGGTGCCAATAACCCGCGATGTGTTTTTGGTAGCGTGGCCGTCGTAACACGTGCCGGTGGTCTGTAGGACTGACGGCCAGCATCGCTCTGTCGCGCTGGTGACCTGCACTGTTGTCAGCCTGCGCCACCGACCTGTAGGGTTGACACGTGTCGGTTGCCTGCGCCACCGACCTGTGGGGTTGACATGTGTCGGTTGCCTGCGCCACCGACCTGTGGAGTTGACCTGTATCGGTTGCCTGCGCCACCGACCTGTGGGGTTGACATGTGTCGGTTGCCTGCGCCGCCGACCTGTGGGGTCGACATGTGTCGGTTGCCTGCGCCACCGACCTGTGGGGTTGACCTGTGTCGGTTGCCCGCGCCACCGACCTGTGGGGTTGACTTGTGTCGGTTGCCTGCGCCGCCGACCTGTGGGGTTGACATGTGTCGGTTGCCTGCGCCACCGACCTGTGGGGTTGACACGTGTCGGTTGCCTGCGCCGCCGACCTGTGGGGTTGACATGTGTCGGTTGCCTGCGCCACCGACCTGTTGGGTTGACACGTGTCGGTTGCCTGCGCCACCGACCTGCGGGGTTGACATGTGTCGGTTGCCTGCGCCACCGACCTGTGGGGTTGACACGTGTCGGTTGCCTGCGCCACCGACCTGTGGGGTTGACATGTGTCGGTTGCCTGCGCCAGCGGCCTGCGATGGCGATCTCCCCAGGTGGCCTGTACCATTACACTATACTGCTGGCAGGTGCCAGTGACATTGTCAGTGACCTGCGCTGGGGCTCAGCCCCACGGGCGTGGGGGTTGAGCGGTGGGTGAGGTGGTCGACCTGCTCTGACGGCTATCCTGTGCTGCCGCCAGGACGGTGGGCAACGTCAGCCGGGCGCTGGCGGCCGCCTGTCGGGACCACGCGGACAACTGCCTGCACCTGGTCAACAGCAACATGGTGGGCGGCGCCCTCGACTTGCTGATGACCAGGTCAGTGATCGGGGATGATAATCTGTTCAGTGACCCGAGGTGATGACTTGGTTAGTGACCTGAGGTGATAAGCAGGTCAGTGACCTGAGATGATAACCAGGCCAGTGACCTGAGATGATAACCAGGCCAGTGACCTGAGATGATAACCAGGCCAGTGACCCCAGGTGATGGCCAGGTCAGTGACCTGAGATGGTAGCCAGGCCAGTGACCCGAGGTGATGACCAGGTCAGTAACCGCAGATGATGGCCTATCCAGTGACTGCACCGTAGTGCTCTCGTCGTTCTGTTGACGTCCAGCTGATTGAGACCTCGCTCTTCTTATGGTGGCCCGGCGTGTACGTTGTGAGACGTTGCCGCGACAAAATACTCCAGATTGTGACGACGTTAGGCTCGCCAGCCGGTTGAGGCATGGGGCTCCTTCGCCCGGCCGGCCGGTCGACCGCCGCCCCTGTCGGCTGGCGTGTGGACCGCCTGCTGCCTGACAGCCCCGCCCCTGCCCGCCACGGCCTGGGTCGGTGGACCAGCCCCGCCGCTGGGCTCGGGGCGGACGCGGCGGCGTGCAGTGCGAGCCCGCGTCACCCGGCCCGTGCCAGCCGCGTGACCCCGAGCCCTGACCGCGGCCGGCAGGCTCACCCGGCTGTCGTCCACGTGCGCGGCCGCCGGCGGGGTGCACTGCGACCCGGGCGCCGCGGCGCTGATGCAGCTGACCTCGGCCGTCCTGGCGGCGCTGACCCGCTCCGACCTGTCGCACCAGCGCTGGGGCGTGCTGCAGGACGTGTGCAGGTGAGGCGACGGCGGACGGCGCTGCTGGCCCACCTCCGGCGTACGTCCGACAGATGGGTTGTGAGTCGTGGGTCGAAGGGATGACGTCGGTAGGGAGCACGCTCTGGGGACCTTAGAAGGCTTGGGGACGGACGGCGCGGGCGGGCTTTGCTGGAGGAGCTAGCGGAGAGGCGGACGTGTATGCCGGTGGCGCAGTGTCTCCCGTGTGACTTGCTGCGGACTGATGTATTTCGCGTCATTCGTGGGAGTCTGCGGCAAAGGATTGCGTCATCCCCTGGCCAAGCTGTTTGCGTCAGCTTTACAGGCCGCCCGCGTCAGCGTTTCAACCCGAGCTTTATCAGGGATGGACCTTTCGGCACCTCCGCCGTTTTCGGTGACCTTCGCCGCCCCGCTGCGCATGAATCGCGCTGGGTTGTTGCGCCAACGCCCGTTAATCCTGCCTCAAGTGCGCTCCGGCCTGGGGTGTTTGCGCTGCTCATCAAGCGCGTTTGCTTTCGGCGTTTTGCGCAACGCTGGAGGGCCGTCTGCTGTTGCAAGGCGAGGAAGTCCTGCGTCGGTGTCGCTCGGCGTGGGTCCGATAAGTCGTCCGATTATGGTTTATGGCAGCGGCGGAAGCCGGCGTGTCGTTCTGCGCGGCGCGCTCGCAATCGCCGAGGAATGTGGAGGGTCGCGCGCTCTGGACGATGATGCGGCCTGTCGGCGTGACCCCTCTGCGTGTGTCCGATCCGCCCGGAGCCCTCCGGTAATCCTCCAGAGGTCGGCCGACGCATGCGATGATTGATGGGTCGCTCCTGTTTGTGGTGCCGGCCACTGGGTCTCTGGCCATTGTCAGGCCTCACCGGTGCTCTTTAGCTGTGGAGAACTGGATGTCGCTCTTTTTTGTTTCATCACGGCAGCTGTCCTGTCATCATCAGTGGTGAAACCCAGCCGGTACTTGCGTCCGATGGTGGTTGGCGGTGCTGCTGACAGGCGCACTGTCGCCGGGCCTCACTCCGACCGCACTCCCTCAGCTACCTGGTGTGCGTCGGCACGGTGGACAAGATGGCGTCGTTCTTCAGCTGCGTGCAGGGCGGACCGGACCTGGACCCGCACCTCAGCGACTTCCTGGTGCAGAGTCTGCGCCTGCTGCGCACCATGGCTGCCCTGCTCACCTCCAGGTGGGTCGAGTGACGTGATGGCCGCTCTCTTCTTCACTCTCTCGGTCTTCCGATCCTCGACTGGTGACGCCTGCCTCTCCCTCCTCTCCCTCCCCCCCCCCCCCCCCCCCGCCACTGACTGACGTTCTTTAGCGTCTCCCGGCGCGACCGCTCCTTTTGTACGTTGTATTGCTCCCGCTGTCTTTTCAGTACGTGTGACGATGTAGTTTGTCAGTTTTTTGCCCCTAACTGTAATGAATCGTACAAGAAGTGGTCGAATTTGGATGTTTGCTGTTGACGTGGATCTGTCGCGGCTTATTGACTGGCTCTTTGGTCTTTTATGTGGGACTTGCTGTCATAGTCCAGCTTGAGACGAGACCTTCACGTGCATCGCGCAATTGCTGCCTGCATGACGGCTGACAGGGTCAGTTGGCCGCACCTAGCGGTGCTCAGCGGAGCCCACGTGACACCAGCACCAGTGACCGATCAGCATTGTCATCTGATCCCCGTCCGTTATGACACGGCGCCACGCCCAATACGGCACGGTCCAGTCCCTGACGTCTGCGATCTGGCGTGGTCTGCTCCCCGAGTACTGACCAGGACGGCTGGGGGCCCTGGCGCCGCCCTCGAGGCGGAGCACGCTCCCAGCGGCCCGCCTGGCCGGCACCGTCGGCGGAATTGGACGGCTCTCCGCGCCATCGGCGCTATCACTGCGATTGTCAGTGAAATACAACTCACTCCAGTCGTATCGGCCCGGCTAGCCGTGATTTATTACTGTGACGTCACCGGACCTCTTGGACGTCATGCCCCACCGCGCGAGCGAAGCCTGTGCTTCCGTGGCCCGGGATTTTGTCCCTGTAGTGGCCGAAGTCCGGTCGGAGCTTTTTTTCTGCCCAGATGGCTTTTGAGTCATCCCAGCCATTGGCCGTGCGCTTTGTCGCTGTGAATGCTGTACGCTACAGTATGAGCTGTTAAAAGGCATTGGCGCCACCCAGTTGGTCGAGCTGTCCCCGGACGAGGAAATTCAGCGGGATGTTACTGACTGATGTCAGCACCATTAGTACCATTCATTGCGTATTATATGACGGTCAGGCTGTGTGAACTTAATGCAGGTAATCATATTGTTTTCGATGTGTCATCGGAGATGAATGCATATGAGGACATGGTGTGGAGCGCTCGATTTTCCCACTCGGGTGGAACAAACTTGAAAAGGAATTAGGCCAACAGAAAAATGGGCGTTTTTTGGGAAATTTTTGGTATTCCCTCGAGACTTTGAGTGTCGTCTTCATGATTTTCTCCGCTTACCCTGTTACAATGGTGCAAGGTTTTGTCCTCAGCATGTGTGGTATGGGTGTCCGGTTAGGGGTAATGCTACCTCCATTGTGGCCGCATGTTAGTCCAGTGTTACGGGTGAGGAAAAGCGCAAAATTGGCTGCCTTTCAGTGGTTCTGGGGTTGTTGCGGTTGTGTGTCCATGGGGCTTTACGACGCCCTCAGTTGCCGACGCGTTGTGGCGTTGCCTGTCTCGGACTCTGGCGGGAAGGCCAGGTGCAGCCGGGAATCCAACCCCGTACTTTCAGTTCACCAGGCGCGCAATTTAAATCGAATGCCCAACATTGGAGCATGTTGAGGCAGGCGTCATATGTGATGGAAAAGGTCCTTGTAAATGTTGGCACGCTCTTAAGCGCAAAGACTGACATCGGTAGCACAACTCCCTTTTTAGTAAATGCGCTGCTCATTACGTCATCGTTCCATTACGTCATTGGGCGTATTTATGACGTCAGAGTCGGTGCTGGACGGGCCGTGTCAGGACTGCCAATGTAGCGGACGGGCTAACTCACGTGTACTTCACCCCGCCGCAGAGTGGCGTGTTTATTTATGGGTGCGGGACAAACCCGACAATCGGCATGTGCGTGCGCTCTGGCCCTTTCTCATTGTATTGTACATTTTACGTGATAACTTGTCTTTACTTGCATTTGCACTCTCGGACTCGGCGTTTTTCTGAAGCCATTTGATTCCCAGTCTCATGTTCGTCATAGCTAGTAGGACCACCCGGATGTTTTTGCTATGTGTCACAACACGCGGCCCGTGGTCGAGACTTTCATTTAAGCCGTTAAATTGTTGGGGAGGTAACTGTTGTCCGTTGAGGCGGCCATTCGTGCATACTGACGTACTCCTGACGTAAATTAGTCAATCGTCATATTCTACTAGACCTTGAACGCTGTATGGGCATTGGGGAGGTGGAATTCGCGTGGCGTCTGTTTAACCTCATATATCTGGGTGACTTCAAAATAGGCGGCGTGAAATTGTCGGCACAAGTTGGCGTGCACCCAGCTCGGAAACGAGAGAATTTAAAGTCTTAAAAGGGACATAACGGAATTGCAGGGAATGATCTTAAAAATGGTTATATCAGCTCAAAACTGTATACATTTGTGGAGCAGTCCCTTTATCCATTACTCTTCTGGTACTGGTGTGTGTTATGGTTTATAACTGTCGTTGCAATGAGTATTTTCTGTTCGTTCTGGAGGTGCTAAAATACAAGTTTTCTAGTAAATTCAACATTATTGCCGCACAAGTGTTTTATCAGTCATGTTGTGTCTTAATTAGTGTCATTCTCAATGCGCTTTGGGATAAGCCTAGTAAGGTATGTTTTTGGTGCTTCTGACACCTTTGCGCACCTTCACACCCTCCCACACATCCAAAAGAGATCTTCTAAGGGGTCCAAAGAGCGACAGGGACACAGACACAGGCAGGTATTGGACAGCACAGGTTTTGTCAGCTGCACTACAAACACTGCTGTACGACACATTGGCGTCACGGTCAGTTCTCTTTTAAAAGAATGGGATGACGTCCGTCGATTTCTTGCAGCTTTTTAGTTCAGGAATACTGTTAAATATGTGGACCAAACCATCACATTAGGTCGCAATATTTGAACCAGTACGGAAATGCAATGGTGGAAGTACATTTGTTAGAACTTGTCGGTTAGCACAACAGACATGCTACTGATTATGGCTCAGCGACCCTCTCCGCAAACTGTAGAAACGGCAGCCACACTGGTTGCAGTTTGCTCCTGTTCGAACTTCTAATCGTTCAGAACATGATTGGTGGGTCATTTTTTATAATCACATTTCCTTTTTCAGTCTCCGAGCGAACAGCAGAATGTTTGGCGTCAAAGTTTTGCGGTACCAGTCTATTGTTGTGATTCAGTCGGTGTTGTGCCATCCGTTCGAATCGTCCGAGATTAATGCACTGCCGATAAAAAGTTTCGAAAGCCAAAGAAGCCACTTGGCTGGGCGAGACATTGCAAGGAGCTCGGTTTAGTCAGCCATGTCGTACAGCTCGGTGCAGTGTCGCCACAAGGTGGACTTCTGACGTGGAACCATTATCCTGTGACAAGCCACTTGTCTCACCCGCGCCACCCTCGCCGTTGCTCCCTGCGCTTTTCTCTGCCTCCTTGGCGGGCGAGGAGACCCACCGTCATCGCCCGGCACCAGTTATGACCCGCTGGGGACGCTCTGCGGCTCTGACCGGCCTGACGGCGGCCGCCGGGCAGGGGCCGCCCGGCCGGCCGGGTGCCGCCGGCCGCGGTGCGTCGGCCGCAGTTGACACAGTGGGCGGCGATAACGCGCGTCGTCTGGAGAGGCGCCGGCGGGCCGGCTCGCCCGCACACGGCAGCTCCCGGACGCGGCCGAGATAGCGCGCCGGCGGTGTGTACTGTGCGCGGGCTGAGCCGGGCCGGCCGGTCACCGTTCCGGTCAAGGTGGCGCCCGCCGGCTCCGATACGGCCGGCAGCCGGACGGCAGCGGCGACCCGCCCCGGCGGGAGGGCGCGCCAGCCGGCCGGTGCTGTTGTCCCGGCCCACGCTCGTGGCATGGCGTCGGGGAGGCAGTACAGACGGGGTAGGCGAGTGCGCAAAAGGGGTTTTCTCGGGCCGTGGGCGCTGAGATCTATCCTAGCATGTGGTAGTACCGCAGGTACTCCCGCCCAAGAGGCAATCACAGTATGTGGCCCACGACTCTCCACCACAAGTGAAGGCGATGTGTCCGACCATCCATAACCACTGCGATCCGTCCCATCTCACACCCGCGTTCGGACACAATGTCCAGTCTCCGTTGCTGTCCCAGGCAAAGGCGTAATACCTCACCGAGCCCTCGCCGGTTGTTATCGGCCACATTACCTAACTCATCCCCGCCCCACCCCAGGTACACGCACGGCGCCTGGCCCATATCTTTCTACTCCAGGTACAGGCGCAGTGCCGTACCCATCCCGCACGATCGCGGGCACTGACTTGGTTTCCAGCGCCCCCCCCCCCCACGTTACTCCAAGTAAAGACACGATGCCTGGCTTCCCTTCCTACCTTCCTGATGCAGCCAAACACAGCCGGGCCCCGTTCCACCGCAAACTCAGAGCCAGAGTCTGATCCGCCTCTCGCCGTCGCAGGTGCCCGCAGAGCTGTGCCTGACCCGCCTCCCGCCGCCGCAGGTACCCGCAGAGCACGCAGCGCAAGGACGCGCTGGACCGGACGGGCTTGATCGCCACGCTGCAGGTGACTCAGCTGGCTGGCATCGTGTCGATGCTGTACTCGGTGCTGCTGCGCCAGCACTCGCCGGCCCAGCGCGGTCAGACGCCGCCGCCGCGACTCGACGACGCCGCACTCCGGCTGGCCACGGAGGGGCTGGCCACGCTGCTCCAGCTGGCCCAGCTCGACCTGCACATGTTCCAGGTGCGGCCAGCGCGGGCCTCGTGTGGGTCTCATGCGGGTCTCATACCGATACACCATGTGTTTTGCTTTTGCAGCTACGTGCAAAGCCATTATTGCTAACGTCTTGAAGGCTGTCGATTTTCACGGACTGAATACTTGTTGTGAATATGGAATTATTAATTTAAACACATTGCAAATGTTATGACCATCGCTCGCATCAGGTGTGTTAGTATGTACACAACAATAATATTTCGTCTCTATCACTCCGTAAAACTATCGACTTGTCCTAAAAATCCGTCTGTCATGACCTGTCGAAGTTCGACCTCCCTACGTTATCTCAAGGTGACTCCAGAAACAGTCGCTGACAGGCATGTCGTGACCAGCCTCGGCCTGCTGAAGACGGATGTTTCGTTTTCTAACTTAACCGCGGCGATGTGTGTGACTGGAGTGAGCTATGAAGTGATCCATCACTCTGAGGCAGATCACTTTGTGGTGACGGGTGGTGGGCACGAACTGCCGGTGGATGGTCCAGAAAGATCAAGTGGAGGGAGTTTTTGGTGCTTGGTTGTTGGTGTCAGCCAGATTAAACTCACGAGCACCACATAATGATGCTAGTAAGCTTAAAAGTAATGTTACTAGTAAGCTAAGTAGCAAGCTTCCAGCAATGTGAAATGCCTCCAGCAATAAGGTACATTCGGGTGACATATCGTATACGAATATCACACAATTGCATGCGCAGAGGCGACGCCAGGCGATTATGTGAGGGGAGCTGCTGCGGTGTTTGCTTTTCAAATTGGCCGTGCAGCAGTACGGCGATAGCTTTCTTCTTCTCTGAACGTTGGCATCCCGTACAGGGGCAGCGCTAATATTTTGGGGGCATATAAGCAGCACATATTACATGTATCTTGGCACCCATGTCAGCACGGGTTATTGGTATCGTGGTACCCAAAGATTGCTGCTCATTTCCGGTAGGGTTCGGTATTGTGCGTAAGAGACGAAAACACTATGGCATACAAACACGGTTTTTGGGGCCATAGCGCTGCCGACTATCGTGTGCCGGTTTGCAGCAGCGTGGCCGACTGTCGTGTGTGTGTTTACAGTAGCGTGGCCGGCTGTCGTGTGCCTGTTTACAGCAGCGTGGCCGACTGTCGTGTGCCTGTTTACCGCAGCGTGGCCGACTGTCGTGTGTGTGTTTACAGTAGCGTGGCCGGCTGTCGTGTACCTGTTTACAGCAGCGTGTGCCTGTTTACCGCAGGCGTGGCCGACTGTCTGTGTGTGTTTACAGTGGTCTTGGCCGCTGCGTGTGCCTGTTTTTCACGCGCGCGTGGCCGACTGTCGTGTGTGTGTTTACAGCAGCGTGGCCGACTGTCGTGTGCCTGGTGTCTGTTACAGCTGCACAGCGTGGCCGAATGTCTTTGTCAGTGTTCTGCAGCAGCGTGGCCGACTGTCGTGTGCCTGTTTACCCACGTGCCGCTGGTGTGTTGCAGTAGCGACAGTCGTGTGCTTTGCAAAACGCCACTGTCGTGTGTGTGTTTACAGTAGCGTGGCCGACTGTCGTGTGCCGGTTTGCAGCAGCGTGGCCGACTGTCCTTTTCCTGTTCACAGCAGCGTGGCCGATCGTCGTGTGTGTGTTGCAGTAGCGTGGCCGAACGTTGTGTGCCCGTTTGCAGCAGTGTGGCCGACTGTCGTGTGCCTGTTTGCAGCAGCGCGGCCGACTGTCGTGTACCTGTTTACAGCTGTGTCTGGGCTTTGACGGCCGGTCGGTGGAGTTTCGTCACGTGACCAGCTACCTGCTGTGGTACTGCTCGCACCACGAGCGGCCCGACCTGCTGCACCTGGTCATTCAGTCCACCGGCTACTTCGCCGTCCGCTGCTACGACAACCAGGTCGGTGAGCGGCCCGGGCCGGTGCGCCCGGCCAGTTTGGACACGCCTTGGCAGCTGTGGTGCTCCTCATATTCAGTCATTGATTAGAATCCGTCTGCGCGGTGGTTATTACGGGCTCAGCCAGTGTGTTGACCGTGATGTCTTTGTCCAGCGGTTCAGCTCAGCCCGGTCAGAGAGAGACGTGTAGCGACGCGGCGACCTGTATTGGACCGAGTCTAGTGGCGTCCTGCCCCGACTATCCCAGGCAGGCGTGACATAGCATTTGGTTCGGGTGAACTACCACTCATGAGTCAGCTTGCATACACGCACCTATCAAGCATCCCGTACGGTCCGCCACGGGACGGCGGTCAGCGCCCGCGGCGGTAGGCCGCATTCCACCGCGCGGCCGAGGCCGCGCCGCGACACGGCAGGGACGGCATACCGTGCCGCCGGGCCGGCTGGGCTTGCTCACAACGTTAACGTAGTGCTGTAAAGTACAAAACAGAGGATTATGAAGTGAAACATATATATATATACACCACAATAAGACCATGCCAGATGCGGGGCAGTGACATCACATGCTGCTGTCCCCGACGGCCAGCTCCGCAGATCTGGCGCTCCAGGATGAGGCGGCTCTTTACGCAAACTTCCGCGAATTTTGGCCAGTCAGCACCCTGGGAGCTGCAGAATCCTGGCCGCTGGGGCACGGGTGTCGTGCGACTATGCATGCGCACGACCAACAAACATGTCCGCTGTAGCTGAGGACACTGGTTTCGGTGTAGGGCTCCCCGCACCTGTGCGCAGTCATGCCGGCACACTATCTCCTCCACCCTTGTGCAGCCAAGCGCTTGTAGCGCTGGTGGGATGTGTTCCGAGTGCCGTACCCCAGTCACAAGTCTGGCCCAAAGCGTAGTTTTTTAACACGCTTGTGCTGACACTTGGGGGGCTTCTCCTCAGACAGAAAGGCAGTGATGTATGTGTGGGAGATATAGGCATGGACTATGAGTTTCCGGACTTCGGCCGTAAAATGATAGTGGATCTGGAGGGATGATAGGATGGAGATATACCAACAGACCCCATGGATGCATGCGATTCTCACGCCAGATGCTACGCCAATGATTGTAAAGCCTTTACTTGGATGTTTGCCTTGGCCCGATAATGTCGTGTGAAATGGTTCAGCCTTTTCGGGAGACGGCTTGCTGACGATGAGCTCAGGAAAAGTTTGCTTGGATTCACCTTGTGACTGATAAGTACAGAACAATAATTGGAGATCAAGACTCCTGACTGGCCTCCTGATAGACCGGCGGCTGTCGATAGGAAGTCGTCAAGAAGTGGGGCGTCGTCAATGTAGGGCGAGAGTCGGCCATGGTTGAGAAAACAGGACAGGTCGTTGATGAAGAGTACGACAAGGGTTGGTCCGAAAATGGGTTCCTGGGCTCGTCGTGGATCAGTGGGAGGGGATCAGAGGAGCCGCCGTTTGTTTACGACCGCTGAGATAGCTCCGGAACCATTCCAGCTGCACACCACGCCACTTCATCGCGTCCAGGAGGACGCCGTGGTCGACGCTGTCAAAGGCTTTGCTCAGGTCGAGCGTAGTTGACGACGCAGCATGGCCGCCGTCAATATGCCTTGGCGTCCAGTGGACAGCGTCGAGCAGAGCGTCTTCTGTGGAATGGCACGGCGTATGCGCGTACCGGTACGCAGATGTGGCACGATGTCACGAGTTGGGAAAGTTGAGCGATCGTAAGAGACGGTCTCCTCCATGATCCTGAAAAGCACGGGTAGCATTGAGATCGGTCTGAAGGTGTTGAGGTCCGGACGGTGACAGCGGTGGCGGCTGTAGCGCTCCTCTGCGCGGTGGGGCTGGGGTGGACCCTGCCGCTCGGGGCGGTTGGCGGCGCGCCACAGGGAGCACCAGCGGCGGAGCGGAGCGCCGTTCACCACTCCGGACGCTGCCGTAACGGAAGCGACCGTCGCCCGAGTGACGAGCGTCCAAGCGCTGCTGGGGCGCGGCCGTCTCGGCTTGTCGGTCTGTCGGCTGAGACCGGGGCTGGGCCGGCCGCTCGAAAACGCGTGCGGCCGGCGTGCGTTGCGCTGGTGTCGTGCGCTGACCGGCGCGTGCCACGGACCCCCCAGCAAGGCGGTCGCTACCGCGGCGCCCCCGTGAACCCCGCGCCCATAAAGATGGGCCGCCGCCGGGGGCCGAGTTACGACGGCTCAGCGTCCGAGTGTTATTGCGGGTTCTTCACCTCCGCCCTCCGTGTTCTGGGAATGACCCGGCCGGTGCCGTGGCGTGGCCGGATCGGTGGCGGTAAGTGCTGCCGGACCCGTCCCGTTGATACGCGCGATTAGGCTGATGGCGGTCCCCTTGGCCGGCTCTTGCTGTTCCGATGCCGCGCGGGCTGAGTGGAGCTATCAGTGGAGAAGGCTCGCGCTTGCTCCGGTGCTGCTGGATTGTGGAGCCCGATAATCCCAGCGAAATCCTGATGTGAGAGACCATTTCGTGATCAGTTCATCGAAGAGGAGTGCTTAGTGATGATGCAACGGTTGCGTAGTGTTTGCGAAACAGTCGGTTTATCTGAAATTGCGCCGCGCATCTGGCTGAAGTGCAGATGCGAATTGAAGAGGAGTGTTTCATCGTCGTTAGTCACAAGGTGTTCGACACAGTCATGGAGGCATGCTCAGTACAGCTCTGCGCTGGTACAGTCGTCCTCAGATTTCACCTTGCTTGATGAGGCTTTTAATAGATGATGTTGTCACTCTGTTTCTATCGGGCTTGAAAAGGTACTTTTCAGAATAATTTTCAGTTGTTTCCAGAAAAAAATGCGGTATGAGAAGCTCTTGCAGGCTTGACTGAACTCCGGGAGCTTCTGGAAAGTTTTTAAGGTTTTCGTTGATTGCTGATAAACACTAACAAGGCGGGCTTAGCGAGCAGGTTTAAGTCAGGAACCTCAACGCGAGTCGAATGCATGCCGCATCTCTGCACTGGGTGAAGAGTGAGCACCGCGTTTAGTTCTCAAATGACAATCAGTTCTCGAACGCATCTTGCACTCATTTGAAGTTCTGTAGCATAAGCGTCGCAGTCTATTATGCCGATGGTTGCGAGAAGACCGACACGTATGCGGCGGCAGGTTCGGAGCCGGCGACCCTTGCTTGTAAGCCAGGCTGTCAAGCCGAGCCGACCGGTGCCCAGCTGCAACCGGAGAGCGTTAGCGGTGTCGGGCGTTAGACGCATGGCTGTGCGAGAAGCCAGGCGTCGGTGCGCGCTGTGTTCGCTTACACTCTGGGAAGGTGACCTACCACGGCGTCCGTCTGGACTGTGCAGCGAGCTGGGCTGCCAGGCGCTGTTCGAATCGGAGTTCACTTGCTTGCCACCACTCCCCGTGGACTGGCGGAGGTGACTTTATTAGATATTGTCGCAGGCATAACACCAGTTTTTTCTCGGTGCCGCTTGGCAGTGACCTGATGCCAACGTGTATGGCAGTCGCGACAACCGCCACTGTTTTCATTATTTAGTATTGTTTGGATGCGCAACAGTGCACTGTATTGTTGTGCCACCACGGCACTATATTGTTAGGCCACGAGCCACAACTCGCATTATGATAAGCTGGCAGCTCTTATGTTATATCTTAGAAATCAATGAATCAAGTTTATATCAGCTCACAGGACAGATAAATATGTGAGGCCCACGACATAGTGTAGGCGAATGTACATTGTGCAGATCACGATATAGGTAGCTCGTAAGTATTTGAAACTTCCGCGGCTTTGTTGCCTCTGAGTGACTTAGCAGCGCTTGAAAAGTTCCTCGCGCTGGCACCGAATCTAATTGACGTCATCAGGGATTTGTGCCGTCGTGTGTGGCGGCGTCACAGCTACGCGGAGTCAATACCGTCCGACGGAAAAGCACGCTGAACTGTGCTCAAAACGGTCTGGCTCGGTGTGTGCAGTTAATCACGCGGGATAGACTGTAAGCCATGGAGCCGCCCGCTAGGGGTGTTTGTCAGGAGTTGTGTCTGATGTCGGCGCGTAGGACAGATCAGGGCGTGAGGCCAACTGCGTGGTGTATGCGAATGTACGGTATGCAAATCACGAAACCATGCCAGCGCCCCGAGGTGCGTCTATACCTTTTTCGAAACCGTTGTAGAATGCAACACGCTGTGGCCTAATCCGGGGGAATGGGCTGCGAAAACTGTTCAGACATGGCCTAGTTCTCTGGGACTAGTAAGCACCCAGGATGCAAGACTTCGTCTTGCTGCACTTGGTCACAGTCGCAGCAACTAAGACGTTCATAATTAATAATGTCTTCGGCTGAGGCCGCTGGTCCTGGCTAGAGCGGTATTCAACCAGTTTGAAAGCAGTGCGATGTATGAAGCAGAACGTGAGCACTGCAACACCGAACCTTTGCATGCTAAGCTTTCATGACAGGCCGACTTTCCAGCGCAATGGTCAGACCGTATGGGTTGTCAGACCTGTTTTGTTTGCTGGCTTATGTTCCGTCTGGCACAACGTGCATGATGGTGATTGACAACACTCCCATGTACCATTATCTCGCTCGCCCGAAGCCGTGCAAGGCGTCGCCCTGATGACCCCCCCCCCCCCCTCCCCCTCTTACACACAGCAATTGGGACATTCCAAATGCATGTTATATGTAGTAGAGTGGCTCGTGCTCATGTGTGTGATGGTCCGGCGCGTGCTGTTCCGCTGTTGTCATCTTCACTGTGTCATGTCGCTGACATTGGCCCTACTGCCGGCATGGCTGGGTGTGCGTGCGTGCGTGCGTGCGTGCGTGTGTGTGTGTGTGCAAGATAAGTGCCATCGTTAGCGTCTGCGTTTGCGTTTCTGACGCTTATGTGCAATTCACGACTGCGAAGATCAAGGCCCTAGATAGGCTACGCTTTTGACTCCCTAGTTATGGTATACCCCTTATCCTTGGGGTGCGACCCAGCTGTGTGTCGTCATTGGTCGCTGGCAGTGTGTCCTGACCTATCGCACGCGCTTGTGCTGGTCGTGGCGATGAGTTGTCTCATTTCATGACCCGTCGCCGTCGCCTGATCCACAGGGGCCTCTGCGCCCCCCCCCCCCCCCCGCCCCTGACAGCCCCTTGGTCCGCTCTGTGACCGCCTGCTGCCCGGCCGGCAGATGGTGATCCAGAAGGGCAACATGCCGACGGTGCTGCAGCAGCTGCTGACGCTGCCGTTCAGCTACTTCAGCGACCCGACGCTGACGGCCGTGCTGTTTCCCACGCTGCTGGCCTGCAGCTTCGACAACGCCCAGACGCGCGCTATCCTGCAGGAGGAGCTCAGCTTCCAGGTGCGAGGCGGAGGGAGGGCGCTTATTCATCCATCGGCTGGCTGGCTGGCTGGCTGGCAAGGGAAGGAAAGATGATAGAGCCGCGCTTAGGGTGAAGTCAACTTTCTGTTGTACGGAACTAGCTGCTAGTTCCGTTGCGGTTTAATATATTAGGAGTACGGATATTTGTGCAGACAATATGTGACATTCAATACACCAGGAGGCACCGGTTAAACGACGTTTTCCGGCTAACACAGATTGTGTTGTCGAAACTCCGTTTTCAGTCTTGCCAATGCCCCCAATATTTGCTTGATAATGTTGCCTACCAGTATGTTCTGGTATCATGAAGGTCGATTATGGTCTGCGTAAAAATTCCAAACCCAAATGCAAAGAGGCCTGGAGCTCAAGGCCTTGCCTGCTGATGTTATGCAGTTTAACATAATTAAGTTTTCGAGCAATGTTTATGTATGGTCACGGACCCACGACGTGAAAAGTGCCCTACTAATTGTGTGGCTTTTCCAGATCCTTGAGGACTTTCTGAAGCACGAGTCGAGCCGGTCGTGTCACCTGGTGCGGGTGCTGCTGACGACGGACGAGGAGGGCGGCAGCGCGCGCTCCGACTGCGCCAGCATCCGCTCAGCCAGCGTGGCCTCCTCGTGACCCGGCGGCGGCGGCGGCGCGGCGGACGCGGGGCGCCGAGCGGTCCCGGCGGCCTCGGCGGCTCGGGCAGCTCGGGCGGCCTCGGGCGGCTCGGGCAGCCCGAGCCACGCCGCCGGCGTGACCCCGCCGTCCGCGTCAGCGGAGGCCCGGGCGCACGGCTGCGGAGTGACCGAGTCGGCGCCGGGGCGCGGTTTTTCATGACGGCGAGATTTTGAAAGGCTGGATTTCAGGCGTCCTCGACGGGCGGTGGCAGAAAATCGGGAGGTATCGGTTGTCATTAAACATTCCAGTCTGGCGGCTTTCCGCGCCGCGACAGCGTCGGTGACGACGGCGGCATATCATGCTTTTGGCATGATAAACTCTCATTGGAAAAGCGGAGGTAACGTCACGTTCTCCGACAAGGCCATGGGCGCATTACTGGTGGCATTTTGTAGCGCTGTGCTGCTCTTTAGTGCCAGTGACAGGGCCGATACTGACGATCGTTAAATCTAACACGACTCGAGCGGACTCGTTAAATGCTCACGCTACTTTAGCTGTGCCTCTCTGTGATGCGCAACGCTTTTGCGGGGGTATCAAGCCTCGTTAGAACGCGGGCGATGAGTCTGGTAACGTTCGCTATACTAATCTAATCCACATATAAACTCTAAACTTTGTGTTGTTCATGCGTTGACATATTTTCGCAATAAACGTTTCGTTAGTATGCACTTCGTGGTGTGTTGCATGCAATCTCAGCTCTCGTTTAAACTGGCAATGTTGATTTTGATGAGGCGTCGTCCCACACCGGAGGATTCAGGCTGAAGACCCAAAGTCCAATTTACATGAGTGAGCGCAAAGTTTTCAACGTGCACGCAAGAATGGGCACTAAGCAGACGTCAGATCAGCATCGTCGTATTGCCCGGAGGAGGGCAGCGGTTGCGAACCGCGGGGCAGCACGCAAAAATAGAAATGTGTGGTGTGTACTGCCCCCAGCTGAACAAGCACGATGCCATGCATTCAAATGTTTGCAAACACCTTCGTCTATAAACGTGAGCTTCACATATGCGTTATTTGTTTCTTTCGTCATCGTATGGCTTCTTCGCGAAACTGGCGTAGCGTTAAAGGGAGTACCACCTTTTTGTACTTTTCACTTATTGCTATACCAGATGTGTGACTTGATTAGGACTACCAGTTTTCTCGAAATCCTTTTGAATAGCTGAGAATTTTGATTTAAAGTAGCCGGCTCTGTGGGAGAAATATCATTCGACTCCCTGCTCACCACTATGGAAGTAATACCATTCATTTGCCTTGATTTTTTCCAACGTGTGTTCTGTAAGTCTGCGACACATTAATGTGTCAAAATGTTACCGTAATAAATGCTACGAAAGCCTGAAATGCTCTGCTTAGATCAAGAGACATGCCGACATGAAGCTTTTATACCGCGAATTCAACGAAATGTTATACAATGGCTTTGGTTCCTCCCCTATGGCGTTTACCACAGTAATTCTTTCGAGGCACACTTTGGCTTTGGGAATGGGGGTATCACATGATCTATGTGACATACCGGTTCAAACGTCAACCAATGCACTTCTCGGTAACAGGCTCTTGCTCGCTGGGCCAATCATAGCGTTCTTTTATTAGCACCATTAGAGATGCGCATGGCAGTTGTCATAACAACGGTGGTCGCGATTTCAGAAAAGAAGCGTGGTGTTGTTATGAAGCGTTTACGGTGCAATTTTGGCTCGAAGATAATTAGAATTACACGTTCATATAACTTGATTGCGGCTGCTTTGTCACTACTCAGTGCTATTATCTGACGTAGCTAGTCCTGAGGTTTCTTTTAAAAAAGATGCTTCAAAGTTGGGACACATCCTTTAATAGAAATGTTACATATTCGAAGATATTGAACCAAGCGTCAGATATAATGAAATAAGCTCACTTATAACCGTTGTTTAGCTTTTAAGTGTAAAAACTGCTAAATAGTGCAATTTCCCTGGTTAGTAAATGTGCTCTTCAGCACGTCATTGTTTGATTGCGCCATCGTACCTTGAACAGCATTTATAGCTGATTGACGGCCGTATTTATTTCATTATTTGTGATACACAGACTGCTTTTTGCATGGTGATGGGCTGTGCCGAATTGTAATACAAGACGATTGAGGCGATCATTGCTTTGAAGTACAGTTGCGTGGTATGGTATCCATCTGGATGCACCAAAAAGTGCGCTGGCGGGGAATGAAATTGACGCATGTTTTGCAGTGGTTCACAATGAAAGAACTACTGGAATCGTGTTGATTTGTTTGTGCGAAGAAATCTGGAAGGGAGTTCATCCTACGTGCCCAAACAGATGCCGAAAATCTTATCGATGTGACACATGTACAACGTTGGTCCTAGCTCACATTTACATTGGCAACATGACCCAAGACGGTGTGCACAGCCTGCAGCTGGTGTTGGTGCAGCGATTGCCCATTGCCATGAGTCTCGTTTGATTGTACGCAATCTCGGAGTATGTCCTGCATGGCCGCCTGTAACCGCGTCGCCAGCTGGGCACGCCCGACCTCGGGCGGGATCCGCGGACCTGGCCGAGCGACTCGCCGAAGGACAGCGAGCACCCCTCTGGAAGACTTGGGATCGCCCGGAGGTGGTCGTTTTCCGCTCGCGCTCGCCAAAGTTGTAGTACTAGAGGGCCGTTAGATGTTCGCCAGAATTGTTTTGTTTACACGTTATATACTTTCTACAGATGTGTGATCGTCAGGTGTGATAATGTCGATTTATCGGAGTTTGGTGGTCATTGAGCTCCAAAAACGCCTCGTCTGATGTCGGTACCAACCTCGTTGCCGAGGTGGTGGCACTTGTTTTCGAGGTTAAATTACTTGGGGCCAAGTCACCATCATCCTGTTCATTCGGGTTTTGATGGCAATGGTGGTAACTTCGAACACACCCGTAGCCAGCCTACAGCAGCGCTGGCCACAGACGTGTGCTGAACCGTTCTCCGACCATCGGAAAGCATGGCTGTATAGAGATCATGTTAGGGCCCATTTGCCGAGTCGAAGAATAAGGTTGAAATGTATTCGCAGCCAGATAATAGTTTTTTTGATAACGGGGGAGGCAAACTTGTGATAACATTCGTTTTGATCGCGACATCTTTTTGTTGTTTCTATACGTCGGTGAAATGTCTTCCAGAAATCGTGTCACGGCTCTTGGTACAATACAAAGTGCCAGAGTCGACGTCGATGCGCTGTAGGCGTATCGACGTCGACTCCGTGGGGCTGCGGGCGGCTACAGCGCCTCTTATTTTGTAATGCAATGTATTGCTCACCTTGTTCAATCGTCGCGGTGAGCTCATCTCGAAATGTCAAGTTTTGACAATAAACAACTGTTTGTTGGATGACATCGTTTTACCAGTATCTTCTGGTATTGAAGTTCGAAGTTCAGTCAGCTTAAAAACTCCAAAACTCACAATGCTAAAATGCGTGAGTTATTCTGGATTTGACTTAGTTTCCATGCACCTCTCTCTGACCAAGGGTCATGCCGTTTTGTTTTTGTGAAACCTAACCCATGAGTTGTATCACCAGCTGTTCTTTGTGTTCCGTATGCTGCCAACGCGTGCCCAAGCCTGAGGGCAGTTACCCATGAGCGTATGCCTCGGTTCCCCGGTACGGCGCATCTTACGCCGCTAAGATCACTGAAAAATATTTGCTGTCAGTCCCCGGCTCTTCCAACCCTCCCCGCCCCTCTTAGACCCGCATTTCAATTTTCCACCACGGTTGGATTCTGACAGAAAGTAAAAATCATTTGGCATGTTCAGCGTTGTTTCGGCATCACCATTTTCACTAAGCTTTGCCCCCCCCCCCCTCTTAAGGAAATCGTCGCTGCGACATTTATCGGACGCATTGCTCCTGTTGAAAGAGTTATTGATTAAATACATGGTGCTTAGTTGTGCTTAAATAGTGAATATATGCTACATGGGATTTAAGGCCCAGTTGCTGCCCGGTCATACATGGCGGCCAGTGATATCTCGCAGTTACAGCTATCAGCTATCCGCGCATGGCTGGGCAAGAACCATTATTGACAACCGCCGAATGTGATCGCTGATACTACAGGGCCAAGCGATGCGGATTTGAGCTGAGGGGCCCGGTCTGAAGAGCGAATGTGACGCACTCCACTGCACCCGGAGGTGTCCCGGTCCAGGCACTTCACGACGCACTCCCCCGCACCCGGAGGTGTCCCGGTCCAGGCACTTCACGACGCACTCCACAGCACCCGGAGGTGTCCCGGTCCAGGCACTTCACGACGCACTCCACCGCACCCGGAGGTGTCCTGGTCCAGGCACTTCACAAATGCGACGCACTCCACCGCACCCGGAGGTGTCCCGGTCCAGGCACTTCACGCACAAGAGGCCGAGCATATGAAGAGAGTCGCTTCTAAAAACTTTGCTTTGTTTGTCTCAAACACTTGTGCATTTTCAGTACCTTTGCACCTTTCGGGTCGCTTAGATTGCTTTTTTTTGCAGGGAGGCCTTGCTCCCTCCCACAATGTTGAGCTGCCTCCACAAACCCTAAGGTTGGTTTGAGCCCCAATATTCTGGCTGGAATATGACAAAGGTGTAGGAAGAAGTTACCCATCACACAAAGCCTACCCTCTTTAGCCCCTCTGGTAGTCGCGTCGCCATGGAGAGTACGGCGTGGTGGCTTGACCCCGCGACCTCAGTATTTTGTCTTTAAGTGAGGGGTAACTTTAGACATTGGGCATCTTACATTTGGCTTTTTTCTCCGTCAAACATGAGCCGAGGTGCTTTGAAAAAAATAAACACGGGAACAAAACGTCGTGACGGGACTGATTTATCGGTATTGTAGAGACTTATGCCAGGTGACATTTGGTCTTCTACCCATGGTGACCTACGGACCTAACATTGTTGTACTTGAAGCTTAGACCCGAATTGCTTTGTGGTAAGGTCTCGTGAGAAAACAAAATGGGAAACATAACGTTTGAGTCTTTTGGGGAGGGGGGGGGGGGGCGGGTGGC